TAAATACTATTATTTTCGTGGATTTCCCGTAACCTCTGCAACCATTTTGCAATTCTCTCTCCACTTTTCCTGCCAAAGCTATGTCAGTCGATGCAGCCACCTTTTTGAGTCACGCATTGTAGCTCAGCATGTCTGATGAAGCTGTGAAGCCAGCCTTGGCTCGCTCTGAAATTGCTGTCACTAGCTGGCTTGCCATCTTTCTGGAGCAAATGAACTTGAATTTTCATTGCCTTGGCTTGAATCACGAGACACTCGGTGCAGCTTTATGTCGTTTTATGTTCACTATTCAAATGTTCAAAGTATTCTCCATTCCTTTTTATAACAAGTAACCCATATAGAGTGTTTTAAATAATTCTAATTATTGTTTCTTCCTCTCGCTCTTTCTCCTCCTTCCTCCTACTTTATCTCCTAACTCCTACTCTATCTCCTTTTTCATACTCTATCTCCTAACTCCTACTCTATCTCCTTTTTCATACTCTATCTCCTTACTCCTACTCTATATTCTTATTCCTAATCTACCTCCTTATTCCTACTCCATCTCCTTCTCACTCACTCCTACTCTCTCTCCTTACTCCTACTCTATCTCCTTCTTACTCCTACTATATCTCCTTCTTACTCTATCTCCTTACTCCTACTTTATCTCCTTACTCCTACTCTATTTCCTCCTTACTCCTAATCTATCTCCCTAATCCTACTCCATCTCCTTCTCACTCACTCCTACTCTCTCTCCTTACTCCTACTGTATCTCCTTCTTACTCTTACTCTATCTCCTTCGTACTCCTACTCTCTCTCCTTACTCCTACTCTATTTCCTCCTTACTCCTAATCTATCTCCCTATTCCTACTCCATCTCCTTCTCAACCACTCCTACTCTCTCTCCTTACTCCTACTGTATCTCCTTCTTACTCCTACTCTTTCTTCTTCCACTCTTTCTTCTCTCTTACTCCTTACGCATCATAATCTTTCTCACTCATTTTTATATTCATTGCATTTATTATTCCTTATCTGACTTTGACTAAAAGTGGTCGTCTCTCTCTCTCTCTCTCTCTCTCTCTCTCTCTCTCTCTCTCTCTCTCTCTCTCTCTCTCTCTCTCTCTCTCTCTCTCTCTCTCTCTCTCTCTCTCTCTCTCTCTCTCTCTCTCTCTCTCTCTCTCTCTCTCTCTCTCTCTCTCTCTCTCTCTCTCTCTCTCTCTCTCTCTCTCTCTCTCTCTCTCTCTCTCTCTCTCCTCTCTCTCTCTCTCTCTCTCTCTCTCTCTCTCTCTCTCTCTCTCTCTCTCTCTCTCTCTCTCTCTCTCTCTCTCTCTCTCTCTCTCTCTCTCCTCTCTCTCTCTCTCTCTCTCTCTCTCTCTCTCTCTCTCTCTCTCTCTCTCTCTCTCTCTCTCTCTCTCTCTCTCTCTCTCTCTCTCTCTCTCTCTCTCTCTCTCTCTCTCTCTCTCTCTCTCTCTCTCTCTCTCTCTCTCTCTCTCTCTCTCTCTCTCTCTCTCTCTCTCTCTCTCTCTCTCTCTCTCTCTCTCTCTCTCTCTCTCTCTCTCTCTCTCTCTCTCTCTCTCTCTCTCTCTCTCTCTCTCTCTCTCTCTCTCTCTCTCTCTCTCTCTCTCTCTCTCTCTCTCTCTCTCTCTCTCTCTCTCTCTCTCTCTCTCTCTCTCTCTCTCTCTCTCTCTCTCTCTCTCTCTCTCTCTCTCTCTCTCTCTCTCTCTCTCTCTCTCTCTCTCTCTCTCTCTCTCTCTCTCTCTCTCTCTCTCTCTCTCTCTCTCTCTCTCTCTCTCTCTCTCTCCTCTCTCTCTCTCTCTCTCTCTCTCTCTCTCTCTCTCTCTCTCTCTCTCTCTCTCTCTCTCTCTCTCTCTCTCTCTCTCTCTCTCTCTCTCTCTCTCTCTCTCTCTCTCTCTCTCTCTCTCTCTCTCTCTCTCTCTCTCTCTCTCTCTGTCTCTCTCTCTCTCTCTCTCTCTGTATAAACAATTTTCTTTCTTAATTTTGTTAATATTATATGCAAGTGTTGCAGCTATAACACAGAAACAGGGATGAACAGGTCACTAGGACAGGTATAGTATGAGGTGTTGCCATTATCATCATTTAGTATAAATTTTTGTTCCATCTTAATTTATCAGTTTATACAGAATAAATTGTTCTTTTTTTTCCGAGAGTAAATTTTTAGATATGGGATCCAGTTTGTTGATTGGGGGAGTCTTTTCTATACACTTGTACATGCTTTTGATATTCAGACCTTCAGCAAATCCAGACCCCTTCCCCCTTTATAGTCTGTAAGATTGAGGGCTCGCTTATAGGAAAATGACAGTTATTTACTGTAGGCAGCCATGAAATATAAGAATTGAATTAAAAAGTTGTGAAATAACCCAAGGCTACAGTTCTCTGTTTACTGATATTCAATTCAGTCAGTGGCTCTTACAGGGCTTCTGTCAGAAATAATGGGTGGAATATGTCTAGTCTACAAGCACCTGTACACCCATAATCCATTGTTTCATCTTTATAACATACCTTAGGCCTTTCTCATAACTTACTTAGCAGCCTTGAAGATTGAAGATGTGTTCATTCAAAAGTAATCTAAGGTTTATTTATCTGTAACCCTTTGAAAAAAAAGGGTTTATTGTAGCAACCCTCAATATACAGTACAGTATCAAGTAGTAAATATTTATATGTTGAACTTACATTGTAGTGTAAATTTAATCAAGTGCCATCCTAAAGTCTGAGGTTTGATGACCACAGTCCTTCCCTCTTAAATGTTTTCATGCTGTCTTTACCAATCCTCCCAGATTTAACATCTCCCTTGGTACCCCCTTATTTTCATCTCATTCATGCCTTCCAGTGGGCCTCCTACCCCTAGTTTAGCCCATTAATATTTTACCATTATCCCTTAATCCTTTATTATATTGCCTAAACTGTCTCATTTTACATAGGCTTTAAATTTCAAATATCTCTCTTTGTTTCAACTGATCACAGTACAGGGGGTCCCCGGGTTATGAACGGGATCCGTCCTGAGGATGTTCGAAGTCGGATTTGTACGTAAGTCAGAACACATGCTATATGCATATTGTAATTACAGAACAATGTTTAAAATCCCACTATATCATAGCCCAAGTCCTTATATATACATCTAAGATCACTTAATTTGAGAGAAAAGAAGAAATAGAATGACAAAATACAGCAAATGAAAGTAAAAAATAAGTCGTCAGGTAAATAAATTACTGTAAATTTATAGTTTAAACTCATTCGTATCAGCGGGCGTTCGTAAGTCGGGGAACCCCTGTACAGGCAGTCCTCGATATATGAAAGGAATGGTTTCCGTCAAAGTCATAATTAAAGCAAAATATTATATGATAGTGATACTCATATACTATAGTGTTGTAAATGAAGGATGCATTCCTGGGGATGATTTACAGACACTTTATGTAACTGAAACTAAATAAATTAAGTAGTGTACAGAAAACATCATAGCTCAATAAATCATTAAAAAAAATGCATACCTATACTAAATGAGGATAACAGTAACACCTTGTCCTATACCTGTCCCCCATGGGTGGTCATCACCAAGCTGGACGCTAACAAGTACTGTTGTGTTCCCGTTTACTCATAGGATAGAACGTTGTTGCATCTTTAGGTAAGTTTCAGAGAATAAATTTATAGTGATCTTACCTGAGACAGAGAGATGTAGATAGAAAGGTAGATAAAGAGAGAAATAGATATAAAAAGAGATTGATAGATATATATAGAGAGATTTAGGTCTGTAGCTGCTAGATCAGGCTTTGAAAGTTGGGGAAAGAGTGATCGAGAAATTGATAAGGGAGATAGTTGACATATATAAAATGCAGTTTGGATTCATGCCAGGTAGGGGGACTACAGATGTAATATTAATGGTTAGGTAACTACAAGAAAAATATCTAGGGAAGGAGATAAAGCTGTATTTCATATTTGTAGTTTTAAAGAAAGCATTTGACAGGGCACCACACGAAGCAGTAAAGTGGGCACTGAGGTAGCTCGGGGTTCAGCTCTTATGGTGGGTGTATGTCTCTCCATTCTTAGCCTTTGCATTTTGTTCTAGTTGGCTAGGTATTACAAGACCTGTCTGGCTTAAGGCTAACAGCTAGAAATGGAGGACTTGCCCTGAAATCCCCTTTTCTTGCATAGCCTGTTGCCAGGTAGCTGATAGCCTGATACTGTACTGTCCCTTTCACCAGACTGTTTGCTGGAACTGAATTTCAAGATTGCCGATTGACTTGGTGTAATGATGGCAGATATTGTTGACATTATGCTTTGGTGTGTGTCTATAATAAGATTTCTTATTATATGGTAGTCATTGCACCAAGACACTTTTATTTTGAGGGGACTTTTGATGGGGGAAGGATGGATGATTGGCATATTTTAATGAATTAACAAATGGCTGATGTTGGAGGACTGCTTTGGAACAACAGGTTCCCAATTAAGTTAGTGTATATTGTGAGAGCCTCCAAGCTATGGACTCCAATAGAATATGGGACTTAGGTATCAATCCTTTATTTTTAGGGGTTACATTTTGTGTTTGGAAAGGTGGACTACTTTACAGGAATTTACATAATTTTTTCCCAGTTGCATACTGTACCAGTACGTCAGGTCTTGCAAACCATTGATGTGATGTGAGAACTGTGTATGAGTTGCACAGTCCTTGCCTAATTCTAAAATGGGATATCATGATCAATTGCTCAATTCTTGCTCTCTGGATAAGTTGTTTAACTATGGCCTTAATACAATAACACAATGGTCATGACTAGACTAGATAGGTTCATGTTTAGAAAAGATACAGTAAGGACTTGTAGACTCTTTTAATGCCATATTTTCTTGTTATACCAGTGAACATATTTCTCTTCTATGTTGTTATTCTCTATGATAATAAACTTCTGAGCAGCATGATCACTTATGCTCCACAGCTTATTAAGCATATCACAGCATCTTGATGTATGTTTGTATGGATAGTGTTTCTCTGTTGCTTAATATAAATTTATTTCACTCTAGTTCCAGATGAGAGTGAGGGTGCACCCAGCTCCACTTTAAGTCTAAACTTTACTGGAGATGTGCCTGGTATTTATGTACTCATGTTGTGTGTTGCTTTGGTGCTTGTTGTTTACCACTGCTTGACTTGAGTGTAAAATTTCTTTGTATTATCCACTGTTCACAGCTGAAAGTTAATAAAGTTATTAGAGTGTAATCCTTGATAAGTGTGTGGGATATGATACTGTATAAGGTTTTGCTGTGAGCTTTTCTCATTTGGTGTAAAGGATCATAACCTATCTAGCTGTCTCTGCTCCACCATCACTACTAGACTCACCCCTACTATTACTGTTGTAACTAAAAGTGGGTGCTTTCATTATGGTCTGTTTCATTTGCTTAATCTCTTTTCCCTGCTGTGCCTGGATAAAGTTGTCAAAGGTAAGGATTAAAGTCTTGTCAAATTACTTATATGTGTACTCTACTTGATATACATATACAGTATGTACACATTAGTTGTGGATGCCATGTCTTTAGTGGAGCTAAATAGTATCTACTACTTTGTATTTTGGGAAATTGTGATCTATAATAAGGCTCCATAGCTCAGTTGGTAGTGCTCTAGATTCCCAGCCCAAGAGACATGGCTTAAATTCCCTGGCCAGGCAGGGTGGGTGGGGTATTTTATGCTGTGGTGTTTGCTCAACTGGACAATTGCCATCTTGGTGCCCTGGGCTAAGCTAATGCTTTTCCCTTTGGGGGTTTCCACCCTGTAAATTGGGGGAAATGGCTTTAGTTTCTAGTAATTAATTAACACAGGTGTAATGATGATAATATATTATTGGCACATACACTAAACTCTTCTTAGTTTCATATTTAATTATAATATAGTGTTTACTCTTTTTATTTAGTAAGTTCACATACCTTGTAGCACTTTGAAGAAATCAGGCTTAAAAAGTCTGACTTCTTTGTTAGCAAAGTTATTTTAACCAAAAGATTTTTTAATTGTGAAAAGTAGCACTGAAGTTAAAATTTTTATGTTGCAGAGGATGCTGGAGAGCAGTTATGTGAGCGGGTTTTGAGTGTTCTGTTTGAGACTTGGCTGTTGGCCTGTGCTCGATGCTTTCCTCCACCACCTCTTTGGAATGCCTTAAGGTAAATATGGGACCGTTAATTCTTATTCACGTGATATTAAGAAGTAATATGTTCTAAGATTCTTATTAGTTACTCTTGATCTGTTTATCTTGGTATACTAAATTTACCTTCCCCTCCACTATTACTCCTTAGCTATTGTCTCAAATTACCACTCATAAAATACCATACCTGGGGTAATTGATTGAGTTTTGATACTTCAAGTTAGAGTCAGGTAAGTGATGTAAAATTTTCATGCCATTTTGTTGATGGTAAAGAACTGAATTGTACTGTGATGTGTTTAAGTTGTACATTGAGACCCATGCACTCAGTTGTTTTGTTGTACATTGAGTACTTATCCACTCACAACAACTGATACATCTTAGTTTTATCCCACTTATAGTCTGATTCTCTATAGTTTTACCCCACTTATAGTCTGATTCTGTATAGTTTTATTCCTTTTATAGTCTGATTCTCTATAGTTTTATCCCACTTATAGTCTGATTCTCTATAGTTTTATCCCACTTATAGTCTGATTCTCTATAGTTTTATCCCACTTATAGTCTGATTCTCTATAGTTTTATCCCACTTATAGTCTGGTTATATTTTGTGAACGACCCCTTTATCTCTCATCATGTTACTCCAATTTCATCACTAGACATCACTGCCACACCTTCTTTTGCTCTTGCCTTGTTAAACATTCCTGAGTTTATTCCTCCTCTTAAGTTGTCCTTAGCTAACCATTCCTCTTAGTGGCCGAGCTCTGAGGTATTATAGTTATTTTTCAACTCGTAATTTTGGGCTTGTTTACAGTATTGTACCTGTATATGTAACTTTTTTTTTTTTTTTACTCGCTTGCACACACACACAATCCTACATACATACTGTGCCCCCCAAAAGTAAAAGAAATAATTATCATAAAGTCAAACACGTAAAGGGAATGAAGATTTCTTTGTTCATCAGAGTTAGCAGGCTGAGCTGGGGACTAGGAAGAGGGAGCAGAGTGTGCGAGTCTCGCTGCTAAGGGTCCTAGCTGGGCTGTGCTGTTATGGCCAATTAGACAGCAACTATGCAAATGGCAGTTGTGTTAAACTTTCATTTACCTTTATCTTAATGGTTTTAGCTGCTTTTTTTTTTCATCTAGATTGCATACAAATTTTTTAATAACATAAGAAGGTAGGTGGTATGATTTATGAATGCTAGGAAAGGAGGTACAGGGAGTAGTGAGTTTGCTTCAGCTTTTTGACTTGCCATGTAGGCCGTTACTTTACATCAGTGATAATATTCCTTGTGTTTTGTATATTTTAACTTGTTTTTCATTATTTTACAGTAAATTAGTTTTGTGTTTGTAATATAGTGCACCCTCGTTTTTCGCGGAATTCTTCTTTGCAGTTTCGACTATTCACAGTTTTTCATTGGAAATATATTTTCATTGCAACATGTACTATTGATTTTAAATCATGCTGAATTGCGAATGAGTTCGCTACATAAAAACTAAAACAAAGAGAAAGACATGATAGACATCGTTGATGCCGTTACTTCTAGTGCACCAGCAGCAGCAAAGGTGACACAATATGTGAGAGATGCAGTACTGATTAAAACCGAGAAAGAGTTGAACATTTGGATAGAGGATTTGATCACCACCACCACATACCGTTCATCCTGGACAAAGGTGAACTTTTGTATGCACTGTTCAATGGTGATACAGGTGGTGAACTTGGTGATGCTGGTGAACGTGGTAATAGAGGCGGTGAAAGTGGTGATGCTGGTGGTGAACGTATTGATAGTGCCTCTTAAGATGGTGATGCAAGTGGGGAGGGGGGGGGGGCATTTTTACAAAGTCACCTAAACACTTTTACTTGACCCCTCAAATTCAATATCTCTCATAATTCATAATGTTTTGCTGTTATGAATTATATAAAAATTTCTTATTATTTGGTAAAATTTCAGATTATGAGAGACAGTCACAGTTTTTTCCACTTTTTTTTCCATCTTTGCCCAATGTTTAGCCTTTATCTGTAATAACTATAAATCTGGTACTGTACATAGAAACATTTAGATTTTGATTGGGGCAGATAACGGAAAAGTACCGTATTTTTTCCCCTCGGGAGAAGTGTCCCTTGTATTTCATAAAACCTCATAATTGGTAAGGGCTAGAGCCCCTATTATTTTGTATTATGGGGTTTTTAATGTACATTTATTTACATCCATGTTCTCATTTTAAAAGTTTACTTTTATTTTTTTTTCTTTCTTCTTCATAAAACATACAAGGGGGTCCATAGTCTTGTTGTTGACGGTATACAATGGCCAAACTTTTTTTCAGGGAGAGTTGTCAGCGATGGCGTCACCGCGTTGGACTCATTGATCAGTGGAACAGAATAAACTTTGCTCTGACTCGCAAGCTCATCGGTTTCATGTATGGCCCTTCCTTCCCAGAAATCACTATATGTAAGTTGTATTTTAGTAGATTGATTTTTTATCCAGCACTGTACTGTATAAGATAATTATTGTTACAAGAGTTGGGTGTGGACGTAGAGGTTTGGACTGTTTTTAGATCTTTAATCCAGTTGTTACTTTGACATTCTTATGAAACTGGAAATGTCAGTGGTACATTATCCTGGCTTTATGAATATTTCTGAGTTGTTAATAAATTCTGCTATATTCAGATACATTGCAGCTTCCAGATCGGGGCTCTATCCATCCACCTGTTGTCCTCAGTGATCCTGCAGGTGTATGAATCAATAGTTAATGATTCAAAAATGTTTAAAAAATCCATTTGTATCCTGATTTCAAATATATAAAAGGGTTTTGTAAATGTTACAGCAGTTGTTGTGGGCATACTGTAAAGTGGAAAAATGTTGTTTAAGAAGACAGCAACTAGGTTTATCATGTCTGAATCAAGTGGCACAAAAGTCTAGATTGACTACATACTTATTAGGATATCAGACAGGAAGCTTGTTAGGGATGTAAAGGTGATGGCAAGGAATATTGTTCCTTGCAGCACAGATTGTTTGTGTGTGACATATTGCTAAAAAGGAACAGGGAAAGTTAGAAGGTGTTTGTTCTAAGAAAGCGAGTGTGGAAATTAAAAAGTTGAATGTAATGGAAGCATTTTATGCGCAACTGATAAGTGTAAAGATGGCCAGCGATACTGCAAGCAGAGCTGGCCCTATGTTTTTAGGGGCCCTAAGTCAGATATCTTCCTCCCCTCCCTATACAATTTGTTGTTGTAGCTATTTATTATTACTTCAGTAATTTACATAATATTTTTAGGTTTGCTGAAAGTATTTACTTTAACTTCTCATTCACAAGGACAATTGTTTAAATCCACTGCTTAGATTTTACCATTCATATCTTATTCATTATGACATTACATCCACTTTATGTTAATTATGAAACAGATGGATTAATTATCAATAAAATAAAATCTAATAGGTTTGTTTAACACACAGTGACATCATTAGTATTTCTAGAATCTAGAATTTATGTTTCCTGGCATTCTTTGTTGTGAAATCGTCATTGATATCATTTTACGGCACTTGATGCCCAACGGCATGATTTATGCTGATGACAGCAAGCCATCATAGACCTTAAGTAGTTTTGATAAGTTTAAGTTTAGAGAAGATCCTCTCTGCTGTAGTAGTCACAGTCACAGGGAGAGTGACTGTTATCCTCAGGGCTATTCACATATTTTGATAAAGCTCTTTAATTTGATTTTCATGTTTATATTTTAGAAGCTCCAATGCTGTCATGTTCACAAAGGGTAACTTGGGTAGATTTCTCATCTTCATGGCCAGTTCCTTTCCATCAATGTCTTGACTCTCCACCATAGCTCAGGGTGTCACTCAGCTCTTGACAATGTGTTGTGAGTGCATCAAAAGACATTTCTTTGAAGTGAAGAGAACTCCAAATTTGTCTCTTATTTTCTCCCAGGCTCTGAAATCTCTCATTGAGTAATGTGATGGCAGAATCTACCACCATATTAAAAAAGGACATTTTGTATCTTCTTACAGCATCATAATTGCCTCATATGGAACTTCATATCTGAAGTGCCTCTTTGTCATTCTAAGTCTCTTTTTCACTAACACAGCCTCCACATTCATATCCTCCATCGCCTTGCACATTTCCTTAGCTGATGCTTGAGCTGAGACAAATCCACTCTTACAGTAGCTCACCTGGAAGGCTTTAGTGTCTTGAGTAAGGTCATAACCACATCAAGCTGCATGGTGATAGACTGTAGGAGCTTGCTCATTTGTGATTTGGAATATGTTCAATATTCTCCATTTTATTGACTTTTATGGCCTACAGGCATTCAGTTGCCATGGAGGACTATTGTTCAGTGCTGGGAACTATTTTTCAAGTATACTTTTAAAGTGAATAATACCTGACTGATGTATTATCTTTCTGTCTGTGTTTAACTTTGTTAAAATATTGTGGTTATCCGAGTTTCATTGGTATGGAGGCTGGTTTTGTAATGTTCACAGGAGCAAAATGTGATGTATGTGAATATAGGTATGAGATCATGTTAGTCATTCATTTACCTGTACCCAATGTTCCGTTCAATTGTTGATGACAGTGTAACATTTGATGAACATTTTCAGCAGCAGAAGATGACCTAAATATCATTCCTACCAACATGAGTCGTGATTGCATTGCACAAGTCTGGTATCGCATCTTGCATATCATAGGTGAGTCTCCTGTTGATGTACAGTATATTTGTGATTAGCTATATCTTCAACCATGTCTTGCATTATTATTGTCTCTCTTTAGTGAACAGAAGGTAAAACTTATATTCATTAATCTCTTCTCCTTAGGAAGGATACTGTACAGTATTTGGTAATCTAAGAAGTGAACCCAACATTATACCTTTTAGTGATGATAATGCCTAGTATTCAAAATATTGGTCCCAAGATATTCTGAAATCTTGGGATTTTACTAATCTTACTAATTTTTCACATCTTAGAAGAAGTACTAGGATTAGCAAAAACTTCAATGATATTTCATACTTTAGTCTTCCATATAGTGATTACCTTATGAATGCATAAGTACCAGTAATAATCTCAAATGGTGTGAAGTTACAGATTTATAGATACAAAGTCAAGTTAGATTTTTAGGTTTTATTACACAGAGATTTGGAATATGGTGGCCAAGTGGATAAAGGGCCTGTCTTTTGTCATATAGCTCACTGGTTCAATCATGGGGCTCTCCCAATCCCCCCAGCTGTAAATGGTTGTTTAACTGTACAAGTTGGGGGAAGTGAAGGTGACTGAATGCAGTGCCAGTCACTCTGCCTCCTTGTGAACCAAAGGCTTAGTATATGGTGTACTGTGTCCACGCTGACCTCAATTGGTAGCCATGCCTATGGGATCCACTTTCACTTTTTCACATAGAGGTTCATGGTCCAAAAAACATACAATACAGTATTTAGGAAAAATTAATATGGAATAACTGGTTGCATAAGTTGTAATACTGTATAATAAGCTCTATATCCTCTTTCTTAGTATTAAGTACATCCTATTTTATAGCAGTAAGTGCTGAATGTAAAATGTGTAAATTGTGTTTTATATAATGAACAACTTTAATTCCTAAATTTTGCTTCATTCAAGGAAATCCAGTGGATCTGAGTCGTCACACTGTCATTAGCAAAACCCCTGCTTTCCTCAAGTATGCCATCTCATCAGCACTTGTTATTGAACCCAGCCAGCATCCTTGTCTCCAGATGTTGCCATCTATATTCCTCTCTGCAATGAAAGGTGTCTCAGGATTGGTGGATGCCTTCTTAGGTAATATGTCCTGTGTTTTCTTTCTAGTGTTACATGTGTAGATTTTTTCACAGAGCACTTGATTCATGTCTACACCTATTTGCAATTAGAAATTAAATTGTAACCTGCAGAGAAAGTAATTGATATTATATATAAACTTCCAACTTTGGAAGCAGTGAATCAGGTTTGAAGTAGACTATAGTGTTACTTAGTTGTGTTCTAGATAAAGTCTCTAACCACCCTTCTTTGTCCATGTCTTCATCTGGTTTTATAATGCTTGTCACTACAGTAACGGGTGAGTGCATGGCTGTGCAACATGTTTTCAGGGCTTAAAACAGATACCTCTAATATTGCCAGTTTCATAATACAGTATAGGCATCCCTCTATTTGGGAAGGATCAATTTATGAATGGTTTGTCGACACATTATGATGACAGGTAGCTTTTTGTTTTAAGAATGGTTGTGTGGGACAGAAGCCTTCTATAAATTGAGGGAGGCATAGATTTATAAAACCTCAGTACTTCCTTGTTTGTAGAGTCTTGCTGTTGGAGATGCACAGGTAATTTTTACTTAGTTGATAAATGCATCTTGGTGCCTCACTACACATACTCCCACTGCTCTCCTCATTCTTAAACGTTTTAGGTGGATTCATAGAATTACCAGAAGTATGTCCATGATCTGCAGATCGTATAAACACTGCGTTATCATGGATTCACATGATAAACCACAGTAAATGTTCACAGTAAAAGAAGGTAATCCAAACTGTCAATTTAGTCACAGTGAAGAGGAAAATGACTAAGCTGCCAGTTGCATATGATAAGTTGAGATGCATAGGTCTCTTGCAAAAGATACTGTGTGCCACATTGTAAAAATTATTACCACTTAGACTGAGGCCTGGGAAAAATAAGATGCCTGCATGATGTGCATTTGAACATATCGGTCACTGAGAAATGACAGTGCAAAACACAATGAGATAAATCACCACTTGAGTATACTGGCTCAAACTTGGTTCACTGGCTGTCTTAGCTGCCCTGCCATGGGACTTTGTTTTTTAGAAACTGTATTGATGCAGCTCTGCATTTCATAGCTCCTGTTCCTTTAATATGCTTAGCTTTGATATAAATTTTTTGTAGTAGGTTGGTGGGTAGTCTTTGATTATTACCTCAGGGATTTGTAACCCTCCTTTACGAGCTGTTCCCTCCCTGTGGGTTGGCATGAGGAAGGGCATCCACCCATAAAACTTTGCTTCAACATGTTTAATAGCAATTGGTTCAACAAATCTGTGCTCAGCCCCTGGTGTCTGCTGTATTTTCTTGTTGGTACCCTGGGTTTATAGTGGTGAGCAGGGGAGAGAAGAAACCCATTCTGGTTTTACCCAACAGCTGCCATTGGGTAATCACAGCTAACCCATGAAAGGATGGAAAATGGCAGTAAAATGTTGGTGATGATTATTATGATGATAATGGTTTAGTCTGTTCAGTTACAGTATTGCAGTTTCAATTGACAAAACTTATGAAACCACCTTTATATTTCCCATAAGTGAGGTACCCATCCAGATACATATCTCCTTGATGCTTTGGTTAGCTCTAGGCCATCCTCACACCTGTGAGGGCAACATGCATTTAAATTGTTTTGAAATTGTATTCCCTTGCAGTTTAGTATCAGTATTATATCTGCTGCTTCAGCAATTATTAATGTAGTGATTAATAATTCCCTGCTTCTTTGAGTCTGAGCCCTGTTATTTTGTGCTGGTCCTGTCTTGCTTTGATTGATGTCTTGTTTCTTTGGCAAGAAATAAAGATTGATCAGGATCATGTTTCTGGTATAGCGTACAAGCTTGTGTTGATTCCTTGGCATGAGAGAAAGTATGTTTCAGGAGCTTCCCTCTTACTAGATTGGTTCTTGTGATTTGCATAATACCAAATACCTCCTGTCTGTTTTGTATTATACAAACATACCTCAATTTATGGGAGGCTGAGTTCCTGCAAACACTACTGTAAATTGAATTATATTTCTCAACTGATTACCAATATAAATTAGGAGGTATGTTCCTTAATGAGGGACTCTGTATGTATGAGCAGATCCAAGACTGCATTTCTGGGAATGGACCTCAGAGGGTTACCAAGGTTTACTTTCTCTATCTAAATTTCTCTCATTGCTTGTTGCACTTGCATTTTGATATTGCATAGCTGTGACAGCTGTTATGCAGCACCACCACATTTATGAACCTTGAGATACAGATCTCCCTCCCAAATTGTGGCTTTTTCAATCACAGTTTTTAATTTTCATAGTTTCTCGGTGGTGGTGAGTTTGGCAATAAATGGTACCAATATTTCACTCATTATGGGTACTTGGTACCAAATACAAGTGGGATAAGTATAATATTGTTCAGTATTGATTCTAATACATTAAATTATCCATGAAACTTGTACAAGGATAACACAAGAGATAAACTTTGAATTTAGAGGTGGTAAGGAGTCTAACAAGCATATAATTATTTATCTTCATTTATTGTTTAATAACAATATTGCAGGGGTTCCCAACACTTCGCTGGATAACCTCAACCAGAAAGGTCGTCAAATCTCCCCTTCATCTTCTTTCTCTCTGTCTGCAGAGTGTAGAGGAGGTAAGTGTTATTGTATGCCAACTGTTTATTGTATCTTATACTGTACAGTAATCTAGGGTTTAAGAGAATTTCCTGTATAAGAGGTGAAGCTATGATGAATTTGAAGATTAAAGTAAAAATGAAGATATGAAATATGAAATCCTGTTTTATGATCTACCACCTGAACCAGACAACTTGTGTACATGTTAGGCTCAAAGACTGAATTCGGTCGCTGAGAAAAAAATAAAGACTACAACACATTGTGGATGGTTTCAAAATAACCTGAAACCTAACCTAACCTAACTTAACTATTGAGAAATTTCATTTTCTGGTTATTTTAAAAATGGCAATGTGATCTTGTCATTTTTCAGTCTTTGAGCCTAACTTATATACCCTTTAAGTTTAAAGGCTTACATCTCAAATATTCTGTCAGCATTAGAGGAAGACTTAGTTACATCAGATCTGTTAAATGAGTTAGTGAGTTCTACTTGGTAGCAGCTAGGATCAATTTTCATTTTGGGGCTTGTGTATCACAGCCTCTCTCAGTTCATGGTTGGCTTTGAATTACAAGAGCTGCAGAGCAAGGACCCCAATGCCATAAATGGAGGATTGATGTTGAAATTCCTCTTTTCCGGTTGAGCCAAATTATGGCCTCCTGAAGTTTGATATGATTATGGCACAGTTTCTCTCCTTACAAGTGAATTCTTCTTCTTGCACTGTACTCTTACTTCAATAATACATAACATAAACACCCATCATCATCCAGTCTATTTACCTTTTGTTGATTAGAGGAGATATTTATTGACCTTTTGTATTAATTTCATTTGCTGGCAGGAAATGAAGAGTAATATTCCCAGTGGTATATAGAAAAATTATTACTCTTACACTTAAACATTCATGAACTTCCTATAGTCATCAGGGAGATGTCATTGTCATGTGATATGTAAAAGATGTGTGTTAGGAAATCTAGATTAGTGTTTGACTATATTAATTGTTGCTTTACAGAGGATGCTGCTCGGTTATTAGCAAATGGAAGACCCAAATGCAATAGTATTCTACATCTGTTTGGTCCCTGGCTGTTTGAAGCAGCTCTTATCAACTGTAATTTACAAGCTAGCCCAGGACCTCAACATAGTAAGTGGTTGTTGTGCTTCAAAGACACAGGACTGGCAACTTAATATAAAGTATCAAGAAATTAACAAGAGCAACGTAGCATCTCCTTAGAATGAATCGTTTAATGAGATTATTTCAAATTTCTTCCAGAATCAGATGTAGGTAGTAATGCTGGCTCAGGTTCACGGAGACCAGTCTCTGTATTTGCGGGTGAGGGCAGCAGAAAATCAAGTGACTCTTCAGCACCAGGAGATTCTCATGCTGATCGTCTTGCTAATCTCACTCCACAGCACTTCCAGAGTGGGAGAGCAGAGGCACTTGGTGCACTGTGCAGGTACAAAATGGTTTTGTTTTATTACATTTCAATATTTTCTCATATGTTGAGTAGTGGGTCTTGTGATTCATGTACTATCAACAAGCTTATGGTTTGACAACTCATAGTTCTCAAGACCCATAACAAGTGAGGCTGAGACTAAGTTCCAGAAAATAGTCAGTGTTTCCCAGCACACCACAACCATATTGGCCATAAAACATCAATGGACTACAACGATGTATCCTGATTCTCAGTGAAAGAAAGATGACAGTGGTGTAGACACCATCGGTGATGTCTTTCTTAATTTTATCTGGGAGGTAGGTACATTGTGCATATGGTAACAGGTCCCCTAGTTGTCTCCACCTGCACTCCTATAACTGAATCCTCGAAGTCTAGCAACACTCTGTGACTCAGCCGTGACCTGATGGCCACAGCAACACCATCGTTCAGCTCACCCGTCATGTTCCTCTGGTATACAGTGTAGCCAAAAATTTTCAGCTTACTTTCGTCCCTTATGCCAGTACTGTTTAACAGAATGATGTCTGGGTCTAATTGATAGTATAAGTTAGACAGTTCATTACGTCTATTAAGGGACCAGTGTAAGACATTATGTTGGAAAATTTTCATCCTGCTAACGACTGCCATTTCGGAGACTGTAGCTTGGGGCGTCGCTTGGAGCGTCGCTTGGAGTGTTTGCTCGGCTTCTGCCATTTCTAGGGGGACGGAACTTCTTAGCAGAACCTTCGAACATCTGCTTGTCAGTCAATGGCGGGCCCTCGAACTTCTCGTCACCCGTGTACAGGAAGGGGTTCAGGTCCTGGGCCTGCGTGTCGTAGTAATCAACTGACGCTGCAGCTCGAGGGTCCTGTTCCTCTGTGGAGTAAGTCGCCATCATCTGGTCGCAACCATTGACTGTGGATGCAGTCCTATGGTCACTGTCGTCGCTGGGAGTACATGTCTTGGTGTAGCAGAGTTCCTCAGGCAGAACTCCATGATGTGTGCCCCAAGACTCTCAATAACTTGAGGTTAAAAACATAATTATGATTAACACTTTTTATGACTGCTGGCTGGAGTCTACCAGATTGTGAGTAGCGACGGCGACCTTGGCCGCTCCAGTTTCCCGCTCCTAGTTAAACTTTTGCCAACTGGCAATGCGGTATTTTTTCCTTAATTTTATTTATGCGTATAATTTTTATTTATTCCTTACATTTACTGGTACTACAGTATACACGCGGCCCTGGTCCCTAATAGCCTTGGATAATGAGGAGTATATATCGAAAGATATGTGGTGAAATTTGCGGGCAGGAAATGCGTCCCCCCTCTATTCTTTACGTTAATTCTTATAGGCAAAATTGTCGCGATATTCGCAATTTCATTAATCACGATGACGTTTAGGAACACATCCCTTGCAATAAACGGGGTATACCTGTATTTCTCATCAGATACTTTATACAGTACTTAGTAACTGGTATTTCAAAATAATTAATACTATTTTTTCTTTTCTTGTATTGTGTACTACATGTGTGCTTTTCTTTGCTTCACAGAATATTTTGTTCCAAAAAAACTGGGGAAGAAATTTTGCCTGTGTACTTGGCCCGATTCTATATAGCCCTGCATCAAGGTCTTCGCCAGAGTGATCCATCAGTTTCAGCTTCCCATCATGAAAGTGGTCATAGCTCGTCCAGTCGAAGTCATGGAATCAGAGTAAGTTGTCTTGAGACTCACTTAACCCTTCAGCTGTTATAAGCCAGTAGATTGGTCTGCTATAGAGGCTGCTATAAGCCAACAACCTGCCAAGATTTTGGTGTAAATTTTTAGACTTATGCTTCAAGTAATAGATGTGTCCCATAGGCCTCTAGGTCCTCCAACACCATCCCTGGACTCCTAGCATCTCTGTACAGTACACACACGGTTATCAGGGAGGAAGTACATTCATCTCAATCCATTTCATCTGGTACAGGATCTCTTCACTTTGTTTAAACCAAACTTGATAAATTATTTATTTATTCGTTTCCCATTGGCCTGCACGCCTATCTTTATTTTTGTGAGATGAAAATTATTTTTTCAAGAACGGTAATTTTTAATGCTAATTGCTCTGACAATGCACAACAAATTTACTGTAACCTGCAGGCAAAGGGTTATGAAAAATTACTATGAGCCTTAAACTTTAGAGTCTCCATGTTATAGGCTTAATATATTAAGAAATGATAATCCAGTGCTAGTACAGGTAGAAACTGAAGTACCCAGAGGAAATCTGTGATGTTTGATAGGATCATATTGGATAACACCCTTTTCACATGTGTCATGATTCAGGACTTGAACCCATAACATAGTGGTGAGAGATACAATACATGCATTACCGCTGTGCCTCCAACACCCTAAAACAGTCGTCTCCAGGTGGGTATACTTTCATTTTTGGAAGTGTATTTCAAGCAGAAAAATTAATGGGTGAACTATACATAGATTTATGAGGTCACCTTGAATGTGTGATTGACAGAAAATGAATAACTTGTCATAAAAATGGATCATTACTTTAAAAAGTTCCAAATTTTTTGTATTTGTTTTTATTTATTTATTTTTTACTAACTAAAGGTGTACATGAGAAAGCTTTTGGATGACAATGTATTTGAAATGAGAACTGTATTTAAGCTTTGTTTACCTGGTAAAGTAAAGTCCCACTAAATTAGTAACTGATGAAGTAGAATTTGATTTAACGAGCTTTATGTTTTATGGTATGAAAATTTATTAACCAAATTTCTATTCAATATAACCCTCATATGGTGGGTAAGTATTCCCTAATCTGCCCCCATATGCATAAAAACTGGAACACAAAGAACATGAAATATCCATTGGTGTTGGCCATGGTCTCTACAGCTAACATCAGTTGATGTTGGCCGCTATTTAAGGGTTATAGAGCAAAATTCTGAATGAAACAATTCACATTACCACTCTTGAAGTGGGGCTTGTCATGCTTTGTCTTTGAGTGGCCAGCCAGGCTAGTGCACTCAAAAACTCATTTTCTATACAGTACTCCGAGGTGGAGTCAGTGGCATGCTGACCCAGCTTGGCTAGCCAGTTAACCTAGACAACTTGGCAGTATTTAGATGTAAATCTCAGGAATATTTAGGAGGGTTAATTTCTTATGAGAGAGGATTGGACTCAGGTGGCAGGCTGTGTGAGGCTCAGTGCCTTTGTGGTGGGCAAATTAATGTTACAAATAGTTGTGTACAGGAGGTCCCCGAATTACGAATGCCCGCCGATACGAACGAGGTTAAACTTGAAATTTACAGTGTATTTTATTTACCTGATGACTTATTTTTTTCTTTCATTTACTGTATTTTGTCATTCTATTTCTTCTTTTGTCTTAAATTAAGTGATTTTAGATGTATAAAAGGACTTAGGCTATGTAGTGTTATTTTAAACATTGTTCTGTAAGTACGGTCTGCATATAGCATGTGCTCTGACTTACGTACAAATCAGACTTAAGATCGTCCTCAGGAACGGAACCCATTGGTAACCTGGGGACTCCCTGTACATAAAGGCAGACTCACATTTGATAAGGAACAATTGTGCTGAGAGACAGGAAGTGGTGCAGAATTTGATTTCATGTTCCAACCGCATTAGACCGAATATTTATTGTATTGTAAAAAAAAATATCTGTTAGAAATAGGGTCCTCTCATTTAACTGAATTTGCTAATAGACAACATCCAAACATTATTATGAAGAACATGCATGACTTAACATTACATAAAGTGGACCATGTATACAGTACTATTAGATTAACAACATCATCATAATGAAACAATGTTGTTTAGATTGGCATAAATGGTGAGCTTACTGTACAAACTTTTCAACTTATTTATGACTAATAATGTCTGAGAACACCTGCTGGTAATGTGACCAAGCAATCAAGGAAAAGCATTGGAGTGAAAGTAAAAATGCAAGTCATAAGACATCTGTGGGCAGAAGAGTGTCAAGTTGATATTGGTTCTAGCTTGGGTGTTGATATGCCATCCATCTGAACCATTCAAGAATGCATACAAGATGAGGGCTTTGCTCAATCTACCACTTTGTTAACAGTGACCAAAACAACTCTTTTTTCAGGAACATTTCACTGGAGAAGATGGAAAATCAGTCAAGCTTCTTGTACAGGCGGGGACAAATGTTCGCTTCCGTGGTGAAACTGAGTCATGGGATTGAGTCTCCAAAGTGACTTACCCTGACTGTTTCATCTCATTTGGGGTCGATGCTGCTTCATTTTGGGCGGGAGCGAACTTTTGACCCCGACTGTATAGTAGGAGTAGGACTTTGTTAGAAGTGAGAGCAATTTTACACAAGTTCACAACTTAATGCACTGGTTGATATTTATTGTATTTCTTATATCCATTATTATTAAGGAAATTTTTTTCTATTTATAGAATGTTTCAATACATTTATGGTGATACAGTATCATTATTAGTGCTAGTATTGATACCCAATGAAGCCCTATATGTTACTCATAGATAAGACATACAGTAGTACTGTACTGTTATAAATGCTGACCTATTGTAGACTGGTTTCTTATTGTGCACCATTTTCCAGAAATACATCTAGAGCATTGAGTGATCATTTATACATGGTTTAGGAGTTACATACTAGGGAAACCCCTTATGCTTTGGCTCACATATTCAAGGTCTAGAACTTATATTTCATTCTTTGATCACTATACGGGATGTATATTTATTTCAGAATGGGATTTGTAGCGAGACTGCTGCAAGTATCCTGGTGAATGGAGTGGATTTGTTTCGCTTGGACCTGCAGGGTGTGGTCAGTTTGGTTCCCAGTGTTTTAGGGGTACTGGAGTGTGTACTACCAGAAGGAGAACTTAATGCCCCATCTCACCTGCCAGTTACTCTTCTTCGTCGTGCTGCCACTCATGTTCTTCTCTCAATTCTCCCATTACCACTTCACTTTCAGGTTAGTTAATAATCAACATGCACACTTTATAATGGTGATCTTAGCATTATATTTATAATTTGGTGTCTATGATATTATCATGCAATCATAATCAAACAAATAAATGCAGAAAAGATTTTCCACAACCAAAACAACTTCATAAATCTAAAATGATTACCTGTATATACATTTGTACACACCTAACTGTGCCTCCTTCACCTGGGGTGTGCCCCTCTCCTTTCCTGAGTGTTAACTCTCATGGTCTTATGACGTAAATTAAATCATTAAGTGCTCCTGTGCTTGTGCAACCCCTCCCTCTCAGCCATATCTCACACTGAGAGCACCCTTCACAAAAGCAGAAATGTGGTAACAGTGGACCGGCCCTATCAACCACCTAAGTTCCTCCCACTAGCCTCTTGGGTTGGCAGAAGTGTCTTTAAGGGTGCAATTTGGGTCTGGATTGCTCTATCCAATGTTTACTAAAATGGAAACTGTTCCTGTTACCGACGCAACCTGCGTCGAAAGACTGCAAGGGGATGAAATTTTAAACAATGCTATTTGTGTTGAAAGATCATGAGGGGTTGAGATTTCCAGTCATGGTGGCCAGTAATAGTACATACCCCCATATTTAGCAGCTGAGGGCTGCTCTGGCAATTGGGAATCCCTACCATCTCCATTATATTGTACATTGGAAGCAACATTTGCCCTGTAGAGGCAGGAAGTCTGATTAGAACATGTCTTTCTAGCTGTTACACCCATCCCATATCACTATTTCCCAAACTTGCTCCCCTCACCATTACTTTTGCTTTACCTTCCTAACTACTCCATCCATTAAAAATATTGAATAAACAAAGGTGTCATTACACATCCTTAGTGCAGTCCTACTGACCTCAGGAACTAGTTTCCCTCTTTGCAACACACACCTTACTCTGGGTATAAAAGCTCTGAAATATGTTCAGCATCTTCCATTTACCTCCCACACTGCTTTTCTGTGAACTATATCATTATATTATTCCATATTCATATATAACTCAAGCAAATTCTTTTTATTCTCCAAAAGCTTTCTTTGATACCCTCTCTATGCAACTTACTACAGAACAGTATTATGCTCATGAGGTCGTTTGGTTGAAAACCCAAGTTAGCCTTCAAGATAAGTGTTTGAAACTGTTTAAATGATTCATTATATTTTTTGGGCATAGCAAACTTGCAATGAAGAATGTATCTGTAATCTTTGATTCCAGGTACTTCAGGAAGTTGTGACAAAGCCACTCTGGCTAATTGGGTACTTGGAAGTCCTACATATAATGACTAGTTTCCACTCTGTAAAAGTGGGTTGGTCCTAAGATGGACATCCAGCCATATAACTTGCTTCAAATTTACCTGATGGCAGCTAGGACACTGTGCCATCAGATAATCATAGTTAACACATAGAGGGGAGAAGATGGCCATAAAATGATGATCATGATGATAAGGATAAATGAACAAAGTCATTGTCAAGGGATCTTGAGTAATAATGATTACTGTTTATGGTAGAACTCAACAGGCCATGGCATCACATCAGCCATGTTTGTGTGCCACACAGACTTTGCTCTGCACTGAAGTGATGGGAGGATATGGGATACCTGTGCTGTACTTGTCTTCCAATGTTCAAGAGACATCTCTGTTCATTGACTTACCAGTGTGGGTGGATGTATCTGACATGAACTGGGGATTGCATTCCTCAAACAAGACTAAAATGGAAATTAGCCTCCAATGCTCCAAAGCTCCTTATGGGATGGAAGGAATGTAAGTAGGTGGGTAATCTTTGATTACTTCAGGGAGTAGCAACACTGCTTTGCCAGCTACTTTTCCACACTTGCATGGGTTAGCCATGATTACCTTATGGCATGGTGTTGCAGTTGCCATCAGAAAAATTTGAAGCAAGTTTAATGGCAACCTACTTTTGCAGAGTGGGAACTGATCATTGTTTGTGCGACTTCCAAGCACCCACTGAGCTGGCAAGGCAGTGTTGCTACTCCCTGAGGTATAAAAAGATTACCTGTCTACATAGTGTACTTGGGAAATATATCCAGGGTTGTAATAGTAATCTGTAATGTAGTCTCTCCTTCTTTCATCACTCTTTGCTCACAGCTTGTACTCATATGCCTTCTTTACCTTCAAAAATGCTGCCAGTCTCTCAGTCAACCATTCCTTCTTCTTGTTTTCCTTTCTTTCTCTCTTACACTGATACACCATCTATGTATTTTCTAGGACAGCTCTCTTTAATTGCTCCCATTCCTCTTCACCTTCTACTACTTTATCTCAGTCATTCCTTTAAATCTTCAAGTAACATTCTTTTTCTTCAGCTTCTACAAATCAGAGGTATAAGTAATTGTCCCAGTGGCACCTTTAGTCAAAACTACACATACCAACATAAAGAAATGTACAGGAGGTCCCCGACTTACGTATGTCCAACTTACGAATGAGGTTAAACTTTAAATTTATAGTACAGGTACAGGTAGGGCCCCTCAAGTTCGCGGATTTTTATTTCGCAGTCCTCTATTATTTGTGGATGACACCCTGGATGTACCCAAGAATGTCTGTGGGTAGTTTTAAAGTTGCCAGAATTTTTGCAGCTGAGACAGGGAGCCATTCATTCTAGAGACAGTAATTTCCTTTACCTGTATTGTAAATACAGTACACACACACACAAAACACATACAAATAAATAATAATTGGAAAATTCTCTCACAAATAATCAGAAACAATTTTATTAAAAATGTGACAGTCTCCCCTCCAGTCCGTGCTTTATTACTTTATTAATAAAGCACGGACTTGAGGGTAGACTCACATTTTTAATAAATTTGTTTCTGATTATTTGTTTATACAGGTGGCTTCAAATCTGATACAACTGGCATTAGCTTTGGAGCTGTCTTCCTTGATTTTAGCTTCATTGGGGGACTTCCCACCTTTGTATCTATTTTTACTGCAGAGCTCTCTGCTATACACCTACCCTATAAAGAAATCAGCACCCATTAGGCTTTGGAGTTTTACTATTTTTAGTGATTCTAGAGCAGCACTGTCTTCCCTGGAATCTTTCAGTCCCATTCACCTGCTCATTATAGACATTTATAACTGGCAAGTGGTCCTCTGTTGACAGGGCCATAATGTATTTCTGTTGGTTTCCTGTCCATAAGAGGGCTGACAAGGTGGCCAAGTCTTCTGCCTCTCGTCATGCTCCTTTATGCTTCCTCCGTCACCAAGATTTCTTCCCCGCAGTCAGGTCTGCCATCTGGGCCTCCTGGCAGTTACAATGGGACAGTTTATTTGTTCCTAACTAGTTATGAGAGATTACAACAAAGATTTATCCGTGGGAATATCCTTGGATGTCCCGCAGCTATGAGACTGCCTTACCCATTTACGTGTTGGCCACACTCACCTCACTCAGTTTCCTTATGGCTGGAGGACCACAGCCCTATTGTGATGACTGCCTGGTGCCACTGACTTTTGAGACGCTTGCTGGTAGAGTGTCCCAGTCATGGGCACTTGAGGGGTCATTTTATAGCTGAGTGCCAGCAGAGGTAAGGCTCCTTCTCCATCTCAGAGGTGCTCAGCAAAAGAAGTTCAGTACCTGATGGTGGACTTTTTACAATTTTAATTGCAATATAGGTACTTAACCACTTGTGATTTTTAAATAAATATGGGATTTTATATTATTTTAATTTTGATATTTAAACGAATATAATTTTGTTTTATTTATATCATAGTTTTAAATTATGAGTTTCATTTTCTGTGTCAAATGGCCACAGGCTGTGACACCGGATATTTTATTTAATCAATGAATGAATGAATGAATCAATCAATCAGTCAGTCAGTCAATCAGTCAATCAATCAAAGGTTCTCATTGATTGGCACTTAGGTGAAAGTAATTCACATGTACAGTTTGAATTTTTCTTATGATAGCATTGCAAAAATTTTTTTTCATTGTAACAGTTTCAATGAATCAAAACTGAAATCTGCAAACATGTGATAAACAAGGACTTCCTATACAGTATGTGAATTAAATCCTTAGTCTTTAAATAACTGAAAGCCTGTAAAGTACTACCACATAGTACAGTAATGTGTAATCTCATAGAAGAAAGTGGTTCTTGTAACTACAACATATTGAATTATATTTGAGTGAATAGTGTGTCCCATGTGTGACACAGTGGCACCACCTATAACCTACTGCATAAACTGAAGGTCAACACAACAATACTTAGCTATACATAACAATTCTTAAAAGTACTTTGTCTCAGAAGCAGAATTTTCTTTTCTCAGGGTCTACAGGTAAAAGAAGTTGGCAGTAACAGTGGTGAAAGACTGGCCCTGTCACATCTTCGTCCCCAACTCGTGAACCTTCTCACAAGTGCTCTGCAGGTGGAGACAGATCCGGCTAACACTCAAATGCTACTAGGTAAATTGCATTTATACTGTATATATTAAGTACAGGTTTTCCTCATTTATATTGTGGGGTGAAGGTGTTGTATTCCTTGAAAAGTGAAATAGACATGACCATACCAGCCATAGACAAAAACCCTTTTTTGATGATGATGGTCTTAGCAAGGCTGGAGCAACATAACATTGAGGATAATTCCCAGGACTTTGTCAGTAAGTTCTGTTATGTGGATGATATATCAGTGTTGGAGGTGATAATTAAACTAGCTCAGTGGCTGGAGGAAGTTTACGGAGTTGCTGCCTTTATTGACAGCAAGACGGCATTTCCTCTGCTTGAAAGTAAAGATGTATGCAACTGGCATGGAAGTGTGATGTTGCATGACAGTGAAACATAGGCAATTAAAGAGGAAGCCATATGCAGGTTTGAGCTAGCTGAAATGAGAATAGTGAGATGAATGTGCAATATGATCCTGAAAGATAGGAAACCATGGTTGGAGCTAAGAGAGCAGCTGGGTATTGAGGGAATTGGTGGAGTTCTGTGTAGAGGCAGGTTAAGACGGTTTAGGCATGTGGAGAAAATGGATAAGACCAGCTGGATCAAGAGGTGCAGAAGTTTAAATGTAGAGGGGAGGAGAGCATGAGGCCAACAATGACATGGGGAGAGTTTGTAAGACATGACGTTAGCTGATGAGAGAGGCTGCTCGAGATCATGCAGCATGTAAAACGGCCCTCATGTAATCGTGGCCAATCCATGCAAATGTGAAAATTGGCTGTAAAACATTTATAATGATGGTGATACAAAAGCATTATTCAGCAAACCTCATACTATAGTTTTATGGTTGGCTGCTTGGTGGCATATTTTCCAATTGTTTCTGGTCTGTAATTGTTTACTCCGAATTTACAGTATATAATGTCTTATAAATGACCATTAAATATTCCTGGCTTTAGTTCTTCCCAGAGGAAGAGACACACACATTTACTGATAGAGAAAGTAGAGCTGCAGACACAGTTGGAGTTTGGTGTTTCTGTTCACAAGCTCCATGAATGGTATGATGTTAGTTCAGCTACAGTGTATAACATGAAAAAAAAAAAAGTATGTATAAAATTGTCTTTACCATATTTGTCAGTGTATGACATTTATTTTCCCTAAAAAATGCCTGTGTCTTATAGTGTACACCAGTGGTATAAGACTAAGTATTCTAAGCAGTAGTAAAATGGAAGGAGTAAATTACTGTTTATTGATGGATAGGTAAGTGAATCATATGGTCAAAGAAGCCCAGAAAGGTTAATTGGGTAAGAAGAAAGTGTTAATTGTAAATGTCAATGTATACTGTATTATTATATTTATAATTACAGGGGGACTGCTCTTTTGTGTACAAGATGCTGCCTTATGTGAAGTTATGGATTCTATTTCCCAACATAATTTTTCAACTGACCGGGATCACAACATTATGTCTTCAGGTATGTAAATATAACCTCAGGAATAACACGAGCTTATTTCATACATACCACATTTTTAAGCCATATAAAAGCCACAACTGGAAGTCTGACAGCAGTGATGTATTGAAACAGGTACAGTATCGTGTAGTTGTTAGTGTCAATAATTTTTGTTATTTTTGACAACTATTTAAAGCTCATTCAGTCATTTTCCCTCATTTGTTATTTTTTCCCCCAGACTTAAGAGTTTCCTTTTCATATTCCTGTGTTAGGTTGCACAGGGATATGGTATTTGGCTAAATATTCCATTGAAAGGACTGCACATTAGTAAGTAACTGCAATTGCCCCGAAAAATTTTATTAGATGCATAATAGGTAACTACTTATTGTATCTAATAACATTTATCTGGTACATTATAGGAGCGCACACTCACAGCTTGATATAAGGCAGACAAAGAAGGAGTTTGAGCAAAACAAATACCTCTGAGAACGTATGTGTACGTGATGTCGCCATGCCGCAGTATGCCTCCTTTGCTTCATTGAGGAAGGCTGCCCTGTTTATGTTTTGAACAAAGGGATTTGAAGTTTTGGTTTGCCCATACAGTGTACTGAGCTTTGAATACAGGTTGGCAACAATTTCATCAACCTTTCCAATGGTGATATGGCTTCCATTGCCATGTGGCACTTTAGATTACTCTTTTCTGGATCAAACCTTGTGCTCAACTGTTGTATGACAGTGTCCACATCCTCAAAGTAGTGGTCTGGCCTCTGTAATGAACTGTTGCTGTAGCTGAGTGTCCGTAGAGTTTGTATTGGCTTGATGTCAGATGAGTCTACTTTCTATTGTGCCTATCATATAGTTTATTGTGGGATTCACATAATGAGTTTCTGATAAGTTGTCATTTTATTGACTTGGAAATAATATTTATAGAGAAAGATAAGTAAAAATAAAATTTTTCTGAAAGTTAAATCAATTTTCTACATTATGTATAATGTAGTGTTATCATGAAATTGATTTTTTATGAATTACACTGAACCCCCAATATAATGGACAGTGTCTATAATGATCCTTAACTTTCACAGACATTTTGAGCCATTTGGTCTAAGTTCATGTAAAAGGATTTGGGTCCTTTAAAGTAAGAAATAACAGACGTAAGTCCGTTATGGTACAAAATTTACTGATTCGGGAACATTCATATCCAAATTATCATAGATAATTACTGTATTACCCTGATTAGCGCTACTCTGCATAACGCTGATTCATTATAGAACTCTTTGGTCCTCTCCTGAAGTTGTTTGTTACTGGAAAAAATGTAAATCTCTAATACAAGGCAGAAGTTGCAAGACAGAACACTCAGGACTTGCCGACAGTGGCCGTGATCGTTTACATTCTCTCCGCCAATGATAGCGATATACTCAAGTATGTTCGCAGCTAATCAGCGCTCTCCTCTTCGTGTAAAAAAAAATTTCCCTGTAGCATTCAACTTACTTGACACACTCTCTCTTTATATGGCTGATTTCTGCATATTATTGTGACCAAAGTTATTTTTTTGAAAATAAAAATGAAAATCCATAATACAAGTCATCTGTACATTGTGCCTGACAGTGCTGCTGTCATTATTATGCATAATCCACCTCCACCACTTACAATTGACCAGTACGTTACGTGCAACTAACATGGAGAGCAAGCCTGCAGGCCGCCACTTAGTCGCCCCTGTTTGAAAGCATACTCATCTTGTAAACACCAGTTGTTGGTGGTGGTGATGGTGAGTGTTGGTGGTGGTGTGATTATGAGTGTTGTTGGTGGTGGTGGTGATGGTGAGTGTTGGTGGTGCTTCATTACTGTCTTAGGAAATAACTTGCAAAACATACGGTAATAAATTTCATTATATCTCTCTTTCAATGCCCTTGTTGCTTCACATCTGGCGGACCATCTTGTACTGGACAAAGCCTTGGGAGCAGCACCAAATTGATGGAAAACAATTTACATACTACAACTACATACTGTACTTCCAATTAATGGAAGTGGTAAGAGTGGCAATTGTGGAAGACTGGCAGCAGCACAGACAGAGTCACACGGTGACACAGGTTCTGGACAGTGAAGGAATAATGGTGGTGGAGGATAGATAGATAGTCGATCTATCCTATGATCCATATATCCACTTCATTATGTCTGCTTAGTTATTTGCTGCTCACTGCAGAGGTCATTGTGCAGCTAAGCACGGGTACGGTCCAGGTTTTGTGTTTAGATAGACATATTTAACAGAATAATTAAAAGAAAAAATGAATACTTATGCAGCATAAATATTTATTTTTACTCCTAATACTTTTGCTTTTAAAGTATGCTTTCTAGCTTGCATAGCAATAATAAAAGAAAACTAATTTCATAAAAGATTTACATGAATTTTTAAATATTTTGTAGGGGCTGCTTGCATTCACAGTAAATCTCGCCCTGGGTGCAGGGTCCCCCAGGGCACGGGACCCTTGGCCATGGCCTACTTGGCCTATGCCATAATCTGGCCTTGGTTGTGAGACTGCAACTCATGGGAGTACTTCTCAGTGACATCTGTTTGATGCAACCTTTGCCACATAGAGACCAAACCTGACATTTATAAAATTTTATGTTAGCCCACCTGAGTTAGGGGCTACTGTAACCTGACTAGCAACTGGAGCTTCCCTACTTTTCACATTCCCACAGCACACAACCCCTTTCCCCTCATGCATGTGTTTCACGCACACACACACACACATGCATGCACTAGTGTAAGCATGCTTACATTCATAGAGTATTTTCCATAACTTGCAATACTTTACCATTGATAAACACAAGTTCCAGTTTATGAAAATTTATATTCATGGAATTTAAAAATTGGAGAAAAAATTTTGGTTTACAGAATGTGAGTTTAATCTTTACAGAACTTTTGGGTGCACTGAATACAGTATGGAAAAATTGAACTAGATTCCTGGTGCAACCTCAAATTCTTCACTAAATGCGTAAATTGCAATATATATTGTATATCGACAAAAGTTATTAGTAAACTACAACAATACCCCGGTTATCGCAAGGGATGCATCTCTAAAAGTCATTGCGAATAACGAATTTGTGAACAGGAAAATTTTGCCTATAAGAATTAATGTAAAGAGGGGAGCGGGGCATGTGTTCCCAGCCCGCAACTTCAGGGTCGCGTGTATACTTTAGTACACGTACCAGTAAATGGGAGGAATAAATAAATAAATATATTAATAAATAAAAAATAAAAAAAAAATACTGCATTGCCATCGGCAATAGTTTTACTACATGCGGGAGATGGGAGCGGCCGAAATCACCAACCATACTTGCTCGTCCTGCAAACCTTGGGCTAACTACCGCGCTACTAAGAAATGTTTATTCCTTTTGTCTTTTTACCTTATGATAATCATTTAGAGGTACTTTAATTTTTGCCACATTCTGTATGAATGATTGAGTATGCATGTTAAAAAAATTACAAGTTGAAAAATAACAATAACTCAGCTGACAGCTTAGCCCAGTAGGGATAGGTTGAGATCCCACCCCTGCACCTCCCTCACCACTCCCCTCTGCCTCTCCCACAATTTGCACAAACTCCTGTGGATGTAAGAAATGTTTATTCTTTTTATGCTTTTGACCTTATGATAATCATTTCATTTATGTTTTTTTTTTCACATTCTGTATGAATAATTGTGTGTGCATGTAACAGAGTAAAAGAGAAAGGAATAAAAAATATGTATATCTACTCAAAATTATGAGTTGAAAAATAACAAAAACAGAGCTTTGCCTGGTAGTAGGAGAGGTAGGGGGATGTCACTATGGGGACATTTAACCTGCCAAGTCCACAAACATGTTCATTTCACACACCTACATACCTATGTGCTTCATATTTCTTATTTTATAATAACATATTTTTCACTATACCGGCATTGTACACTCCATATATGCAATAAAACAACTACAATAACATAAAAACACTACAAAAAACCCTGTGTGTGAGTGAATGAGTGAGAGTGTGTGTGTGTGCGTGTGTAAATGAGTGTAAACATTTAAACTAGCATTTACCATTGTCATGTGAAGAATTCTAGAAAGCTTGGCATATTTTTTCACACCCCGGTTTGGAAATACAGGTACAAGCGTGGGGTGAGCAATCCTGCGCATGAATTTTCACGTACTTGCTCCGTGTGAATGGTCCCATTGAACTTTATTTATTTTTCTAAACTACACGGGTCCGTACCCGCAGAAAAAAAAAACGCGTTCAGTCTACTTGAGGGTAGCCTGTCGCATTTTTAATAAATTTGTTTCTGATTATTTGTGAGATTATTTTCCAATTATTATTTATTTGTATGCATTTTGTGTGTGTGTGTGTATGTGTGTGTCTACACACACACATATATACGGTACAATGAATGGCTCCCTGTCCCGGCCTCAAAAATGCCGACAACTTTGAAACTACCCACAGACATTCTTGGGTACATCCAGGGTGTTATCCGTGAATAATAGAGGACTGCGAAATAAAAATCCGCGAATTATCTGGGCGTACTATACAGTATACCGGTAGTCTGCATTTACTCGGTCAATTGAACCCGTGGAGGCCCGCGTAAAACGAGAAACACGTAAATGAAATAACAGAACATATGGGATTAATTGAAATAGAGACTGGGCCGACCCCCAAACTCCACTTTTTCCGACACAATACTTACGTTGTAGTCAAAATAACATCTTAATTTTATGATGGTATGCACACACAATTAATAATTAAGAGAAAGATCAATAATATTAGGTTTTTTAACACTTACGTTAGTAGAAAAGCTGGGTCGGCACACGTGGATGGCGGCTGATTCCGAGGCAGAGGGCAGATTAGTTGCCCTCCGTTGAATCACTTTCACTTTCACTACTCGCAGAGGTTTGCAGGGCCTCCCAGACAAACCTCTCAAAGTCCATATCCTCACTGTCATTATCACTATCACTGACTTGGGCGGGCTGTGGTTGTGGTGGGTTGCGGGCGAGGAAGTCCTCAATAAAACGTTGACGACTAGCATTGATGTTGTCGAGATAGATCTAGATATACGGCTCCATAACTTTCGTCAGATGGTTATTAGACACTTCATACCGATGCTTGTCTGGGTCGTTGTCAAGGATGAGCTTAATTTTCTCCCCCCAACTCGATGATTTCCTTCACATTATCATGGCTTAGTCCAGGTAATTCAAGGTTTTTCTCTGGTGGTGGGGGTCCCGCGGAAGCTGTTGTGAGGGGAATAGCGGGCACAAGAGAGAACTGTATACGCGGACTGAGAACAATGAGACAGGCCCTGCTAGGTCAGCGACTTCTACCCTCTGGTGGCAGGGTATGTCATGTTACATTAGATCAATCACAGCTAGCGGCGGAGGGAATGCGTGGGTGGTAAGGATGCGTGGCCAAATCACAGTCTGATACGTCATATGACGTCAGCGATAACGTAAGAGCGGCCTAATGCGCACCACTCACCGCGCCGCTTCCCGCGTATGGTCAAGAATGGTCCGTGTGGGTAAAAAATGGCGCGGCGGTCTGGAGCTCTCCAGCCGCTCGCCGTGCAAATGACCAAATTTACCGCATGATTAAAGCATTTTGATTCTGGCAAGGCACCGCGTAAATGACCAAATGCGTAAACAAAAACCGCGTAAATCCAGACTATACTGTACAATAAAATTATAAAATACTGTACAATACACTATAGAGTACAGTATTTTCTTATCTCTCAGCCACATTATAGTACGTATTTTAATGATGTGCACTTGGAGCACAGAATCCCCAGTTTTCTCAACTTCCCTCCCAAATTTTTCCCAGTGAGTCAAAGATCGTTAAACTGAAAAATGACAATTGTTAAATGAGAATGGGTGCTAAAAATTTTTAATTGATGAACTGAAAAGCTGCTAAGTGAACGATCGTTAAACTAGGGATGACCTACAGTATATTGTATTTGTTTTTAGCTTTCTAAGCTTATAGTTTAATTCAGCGGCATTTGACCTAAGCTGTTGCATTGCCAGCGATGTTATTACCACAATCAATCAATCAATCAACAACTGTGCAAAGTAGTTCTGAAAGTGACACACAATGCTATACATATATTCACATAATATTAAACTAATATATATATATATATATATATATATATATATATATATATATATATATATATATATATATATATATATATATATATATATATATATATATATATATATATATATATATATATATATATATTGCATATGAATAGCATATTACTGTACCTATGAAACACATAATAGAACTCATATACGTACTGTTTACTAACTTCTAGGATTCTTTAGTGGACAACTTGTATTAAAATACAAAAGAACATATGGAGCCTCGTTTGTATGTCCATGTGTTCAAAAGTTGGACATTCATAACCCAGGGACTCGATGTACAGTATTTAAAAAGACACCATGAGCCAGCTGGTCACTGTAATACCTAATGTCTTTTATACTGATTATAAGATATTTGATATTGGTTCTGTTGGTGCAGTAGTATGTGTACACCAAATAAATCATTTTATGGCTGATACATCAAGTACTGTACAGTATCAGGTGATTATGAGAACCTTCAAAGAACAACTGTAGTATCTAACAGCAATGTATTTAAAGAGTTGTATCCTATGGACTTTACTGTCTTGCAAATCTCTATTTTTACAAACATTTTGAGATTCCACACTTAATTTTTTTGCAGTTTTCATTAACTCACTTTATTTTTATGATTAATGTTGTATTTAAAAGTTCTTAATTAGTGATAGTAAAAAGAATTTTGTTGCCTTTAAAGATTATATAAATTAATAGAAAAAATTACTAAGTAAATTGTCAGTGTTGATTCTATAGCTCTGAGTTACTCTCATAAAATATATAATTGTTCCAAGAAATGTAGTGAAATATATTAATGATAAATGAGCATAAGTTGGAGTCTTCAAGGTAGCTTTTAAATACAACTTTATTTCCCAGTTTGGTTTGTTACTTATCTTGTGTTGTGTGTTTTACTGGTAAATGGTCAAGAGGGAACATTTCAGTAATGGATTAATGTGACACCAAATTTTTATCTTGTGTGTTTGAAGAAGTTCCTCTCTTGATCATTGACCATTTTAGCTTTAGCTTATTCTTTTCCTGGACCTGTAGGTGCCTCAGACACAGTTAGTTCGCATGGTGACTATAACAGTCTGGATGAGAGCTGCGAGGTACTGTCTGATGGGAGCCTTGGCCAGGTTGGCTCCTCAAACTTCAGCAGTGCAGCCACCAGCCATGGTAATAACTTGCATTTTTTTTCCATGCTTCTGTAAAACATTATATAATTTATTTTTAGTGTCAAATATTTTATTTTTTAATAATTTGTATACAAATTATAATGCTTTTTGAATATAAATAGCAGTTTATGTAGTTCATTTAGAATACCTACTTTTCTATCATAAAAAACAATGAGCACCATTTTCCCCCTGTGGATATATATAAATTGTTTTCCTTTTGTCACCTACTTTATGTTCATTAATTTATAATTAATATTGAATTTAAGGATAATAAGAATGGTTATCTTATTCTACAGACGACTTATTTTACATGCCACCTATTGTCATAAGTGATCAGCATGCATTTACTTGAAGAATTTTCTTGCAGCAACCTTGACGAGTGCAACAGATGGTGAAGTGCTGCCAGTTTTAGAGGACTCTGGTAAAGGAAATGATGTGTAATTTACTAACACCATAGAATTAGTAATATGCTTGGAGAATTTTAGAAGTGATTAATCTTATTACGAGTATACTGTACTAGTGCATATGTTGTGTCATAATGATGCTTGTGTACCTTACATCCCTGTGTTATGTATCACAGAGATAAAATACTTGGGGGTGTTATTTCTTAGGTGCAGTATAACTTAGTTATTACAGTACACCAATGCTTACGCTATTAAGCTATATTATTGAATATTTATTAATTTATGGCTTTCAGTCTTTCACTGAGTGATTACTATGAGACATTAATACTTGGGGGTGTTATTTCTTAGGTGCAGTATAACTTAGTTATTACAGTACACCAATGCTTACGCTATTAAGCTATATTATTGAATATTTATTAATTTATGGCTTTCAGTCTTTCACTGAGTGATTACTATGAGACATTAAACATCCTATGGCATTTATGCATATGACATGGGACACATTAATTCAATGGCAGGAAGCATTACTTATTTGCATAACACAGTTTCTGTAAAATAGCTTTTTCACTTAGTTACATTGTAATTCTTATCAAAATTCCAGTGATATTATGAGTACCTATAAAGGTCATTGTGGCATATCAATCTTAGGATCTAAGAGTTTATTATATCCCTGTATGTGCTCAAGATATCTGACAATTATAATCAGTTCTTTTCCTCAATGAGGGAGTATTTTGTTACCTCTTCAGACTCAGGTAAGGCCTTTATGATTACAAGGTTATGCAGATAACTCAGACTATTGTGTGTGCACTCGCACTCTTGTTTTAGTGAAAGTGAAAATGGTTTATTAAGACACGCTCACCACTTTTCTTAAGACATATAACTTGTACTTTTACGTCCGTCCCAAAGCTACTACACTTCCTTTTAGCCAATACACCACCTTGCTTCAGTTTGGAACTGATGGCTACAAAAATAGTCCACCATTGTCACCAAAGGCTCAACAAAGTTGATAATTATAGTCCTTGGAGCGCTTTAACATAATGCCTGTGGATACAGGCGACTGGTATTGAGCATGTATAGCACGGGCGAGAAGGATGAACTTTAAGAGAATGGGAAGCTGGTGGGAATTTCAATCGCTCAAACGTTTGTGCTCCTGATGATCGACGGATTTCAGCCTTAGAATTCTCTTAACTTTGGGAACTTTTTACGTGTAGTTCCACAATTATTTGGCCACTTACCGGTAAGTGCGAAACCACTTATAATGAATACACTTAAAACGGGGACCACCTGTACTCCTCAGCCACTGAGGTTAGACTCAACACATTGAACTCATGAGGCTATCAGTAACACAGTCAGCCGAGCCCACAAATAAAAAAAACCGGAGAAAAACGCAGTTCAAGTTTTTAAACTTTCAAAAAGCCTCATCTTATGTACCATTAAAGATATCTAAGTGATTTTTTTTTGTTATGTTGAGTTAAATAAAATAATCTTGAATTATACCTAGTGAACTTAAAATTTTATTGGTGAAATTACTGCATCAAGCATGGGTCTCCTGAAAGGTGATTTCTCCTCCATCCCCAATTCCTTCTCTTCTCCCTTCTCCTCCAGGAACCTTCTACATACACACCTCAAAGTAAGTGTACTTTACTGCATTTTTTTTTTACTTTGTAAGTACTTTTCTGTGAGCTGGTACCAATTACCCAATATCCCATTGAAACAATGGATTCGGTTAATGGAATGTGTTCGTTAACCGAGGGACCACTGTATATATTATTTAAAGAAAAATATGGATACAGGAGGTAAATATACACAAAAGTTTTTTCTAAATACTCCCTGCTAAAAAATGCAGTTTGTATATATTTTTACATTAAGCACATTTGCCAGTATTCGGACAACCGGCTTTCTCGTACAGGTGGTCCCCCTTTTAGTTTGGATTTATAAGGGTTCACTGTATATCTGAATTGGTGTTGAACTTTGAGAAATTTTAATTTACTAAGGTCAAAGGTTTGAAAGATTCTTCCCCCCCCCCCCTTTTTTATGAAAATTCAAACAACCCAATATGAAAATGTCATATATGATGTTAAATTGTTGATCCTAGGGCTCTAGTGATATCTACTCCTCTTTTCAAAACAACATATGCACATTTATGAATTTTAACCCCATGGAAATAATACTAATTTTTGCCCCTTTACTTTTGAGACGCCGCTTTTAATATTTTATTTCACTAACGCCAGACACTTTTATACAGCAGAGAGGGGGCCCTGTAAACAAGGGATTAAGTTGGCCCTATTGGATGGTGGGAGTGCCAAGAGGAGGGATTTATAACCATAATCTTTTGTCTTTTGGAAAGGGAAAAGTTAAACTATGTGAAAAAATTATTCTCTGATTAACATTTTCACGTCCCGTGTTTCCAGATTCTGCTCACGCCTTGTTTGTGCGAGCCATTTACCTGGTGTGTCATCGGCTCATCTCCTCGTGGAAGAGTGATGTCAATGTTTCACTCGCTGGCTTGGAACTGCTCTCAGGTTTAGCACGTCTTAGCATTGCGGAACAAGGTGTGTATTTTTTATTTATTTTTTATTTTCTGTAATATCTAGAAATAACATTGTATGTGTGGATGTTATATTCAGTACTTTAGACTAGTGGTGTGATTTTTATAGAATTAGCCTACTACGTATTCATAAATATTGTTCATAAAACATATTGGAAAATTTAAGGTGAATTCATAGAATGATGTATTCATGAGTAAGTCAGGTATCCCCTACTTTATGAATGGGTTAGGTTCCTTGAAAACCATTTGTTAAATGAATTTTTATATCTCAAATAAGAGAATATGTTGGAAAAATTGGGTTTGGTTCCCCAATGTAAAAAAAATGCCAATATTATACCCAATAAATTTAAATGGCTTCATAAACAACAACATAAACTTACCTCACTACTGTAATTTAGAATCTAACGCATTAAAATATTAATAAAATATAAATTTGGTATACATTACCTTGAGGGACGTTATTCGCATAAGGGAGAATAACTTTGGTATACTGTACTGTAGTGTGAGAGTTATAAAAATAGAAAATTCTTATATAAATTTTTGTATCTCAAATGTTCGTAAAGTGAGGGATACCTGTACAGTACTACACATTAATGAATGGATGGATGGCAGATACAGTCATACCTCTGTTAGCAGGATTTCCTCTTAGCTGGAACTCTCCAATTGCCGGAATTTAAATTTTCTCAGAAAATCGTTCACAAAGCTGGAATTTTCCGGAAAATAATAATAATAATAATAATAATAATAATGATAACCATTATTGTTATATTATTATTATTGTTATTATTATTATTATTATTATTATTATTATTATTATTATTATTATTATTATTATTATTATTATTATTAATAACAAAATAATAAAAAGAAAATAATAACCATAAATAAATACAAACAAAATAAATAAATAAAGAGTGAGAAATGCTCTACATTATGTATGTTGTGTTGTCAAAGTAAGAGAAACAATTGAGACCCTGCAATTGTGTGTAAATGAGGCAGAAAGTCAGATGAGCAACCTGGGACATGGTCACAATTTTTGTGATGCCATATGGCAGCAGAGTCTGCCATTAGACAACACATTATGCTTCCAATATCTTCCCAGGCGGTAGTACCTCCCTGTTTGGTAGCTGCCTACTACCTACTAGGAGTCAAGGAGTGGCTTCTTCAAGTGCTTATGGCATTATATGAAGGCTCAAAAACCTGTTTGAGTGAATGGTGAGGAAAATGAGGAATTTGAGGTGAAGTAAGGGGTTCATCATGGGTCTGTGTTGAGCCCCTTCTGTTTATCATAGTGCTGAAGGCAAAATCACAGGACTTAAATCCTGTTCTGCCCTATGAGTGGCTGTACGCTAATGACCTAATGCTAATAACAGATAGTATTGAAGAGGCAGTGGAGAAATTTAAGAAATGAAAGGATGAAATAGAGGTTAAGGACCTGAGAGTGAATGTGGAAAAAAAAAATATTGATTAGTGGTGTGGGTGAGGGATCCGTGGTGGAAAGTGGAAAATTGCCATGTGCTGTCTGCTGTAAAGGTGTTGCCAGCAACTCTGAAATGTGCAGCAAATGTGAAAGGTGAGTGCAGAAGAGGTGAAGCAGAGCAGAGGGCAGACTGTAGGATGTTCCTGACTTTGAGTGTCTTATATGCACATGTAACTCTATGGTTTTAGTAAAGCTGGAGAAAATCAACATTATGGACATATCTGGGCTGTTTCAATGAGTTCTGTTACTCGGGTGACATGATCAGTGCTGGAGGTGGTACTGAAGATGGTTATTTTGCAAGAGTCAAAAGTAGCTGGAGGAAGTTTATGGATATGCTGCCTTTATTGAGGGCAAAAGGACCTTCTTTCCGAATAAAAGGAAAAATGTGTTTGGCTGGTGAGAGAATGTGTTGTTTCACGGCAGTTAAAGTGGATGACATAAATAGGTTTTAGAGAGCTGAAATTAAAAAGGTGAGATGGATGTGCAATGTGAACCTGAAAAATAGGAAACCATGGTTAGAGCTAAGAGAGCAGCTGGGTATTGAGAGTATTGGTGGACTTCTGTGTAGAGGCAGGTTAAGACATTTTAGGCATGTGGAGAAAATGGATGAGACCAGCTGGATCAAGAGGTGCAGAAGTTTAAATGTAGAGAGGAGGAGAGCATGAGGCCAACAATGACATGAAGAAAGTTTGTAAGAAATGGCTTTAGATTTAAGAGCCTGACAAGAGAGGCTTCAAAGAGGCTGCAAGAGACCGTACAGCAGGGAGAGCTGCCATCAGGTAATCGTGGCTAACCCATGTCCTACGCCACTGTGTAAAATGGCAATCAAACTTTGATGATAATGATGACGAGTTCAGGGGTTTTACCCCATAGACTCTGTGAGTCAGGCTAATGATTCATATTCGGGCTAGAATTATGGTTGCTAACATTAGATGTATGAGATGTTATGCCAGTATGCTACTTGTGTATGTAACCAGTTACATATTTCTTTGATATTTATTCTTAGTTGGTAGGTGTAAGTTTTTTCAACTCTTTGTTGTGCTAAAGTGACTTTTAATTTATATACCAGTATACAGTGGTCCCTCGATTAACGAACAGTCCAATTAACGAAATTTTGGCAAACGAATTCGCTCCCATAAGGACTTTCAATTCCATTAACGAACAAAACTTCGATTAACGACAGCCTTATGAGAAACACGCTTTGTTGTGCGCAACAGCTGATCGGCTAGTCCGCCAATACAGTAATTGGTTCTATGTTTACATTTGTTTACAGTGGAGTAAATATCAAGAAAGTTGGTCTCTTGAATATTTTTGTATTTTTACATTAAAATTATTGGTCATTCTGAAATTGAGTTCACTTATTGATAATATACGGTGCAAAAATTATTCTGAAACATGAAGAAGGCATTAGAACCAATGCACTCTGTAAAGAATATGGCATGTCATCATCGACTGCCTCTACAATCAGCTGTTTGATATGTAAACAAAGCTGCCGGGATTACGACATATACACCTCAAAGTAAGTTAAAATATAGTATTCTATTGTTTTTTATTTATTATTATACATTATACTGTACAGTACAGTACTGTATTTAGTTTATACTTAATGTTTTGTTAATTCTACTACCGTTATGCTGTACAGTATTTTGTATGTACTGTATTTTTTCTGTGAGATGGAATCAATTACCCAATATCCCATTGAAATAATAGATTCCGTTAATGAAATTTTCGGTGAACGAACAACTCTGTGGAACCAATTGTGTTCGTTAATCGAGGGACCACTGTATACAGTACTGTATGTGTATTTATATACCCACCAGATGGATTAGAGTGCAAACGTGCTGTCAAATGGTTGTGTGACTATATAGCCTATCAGTGCTCAAGACCCCCACGTGCACATTCCAAGGTGAGTACAGTAGTATTAAAGGCATTTAATTTTGTTTTAGCACTGTTAGATCATTGCTTTACTCTGGTAATACTGTATCATATTTGGTCCACAGAAGTACTCTTAAATATTTGTTAGCCTTGGTAGCTATTGCTTAAGTTGTACAGTACAGGTATGTCCCAATTTATGAAAGGGTTTCATTCTTGAAAAACTGAGTAAATCAAAATTATGAAACTCAAAGAACATTTTTCCATCTACAGTAGTAATCTCCCTGTTAGCTAAAGTCCCCAATCTTTGATTCCCGATCCCTGGAATTCTCCATTAGCCAAAATAGCAATTGGGTTGGAAAAATTCCGGGAAAACCCTCCATTCCGAGTCTGTGAACGAGATTCCAGGGATGAAAATCAGACACATTTTCCGAAAGAATTTTGTGAAGGTTCCGAACCTGAGAATAAATTTTCCGGGAGTTCCAAGAGATTGCATCATGCTCCAATGCATCCTCATGTTTCCCATGAAATGATTGCCAAATGCCAATGCAGTATTTTTTATTTAGGGTATTTTATTTCTGATGTATTATTTTTATTTATTGTGTGGCTGCTGCCTGTATGGTGTGACATCACATAGGTAGAGGGAGAGTGCAGCTGGTCACTGTTACAGCTCACTGCCTTAATACAGACCTTCACTTCCCACACATACTCACCTATGCTCTTCATCTTGTTTTACAGCTGTTAAGAAACCTGTTCAATTTGATGAACTATTGTGATAGTGCACACGACCAAGCAGCTACACCCTCATCCCTAACAAGTGAACCAGTGACTACACTGTTGCCTATTCTCTACTGGCCACCACTCAGGCTCTTGTCTTTACCCAGTAAACCATTGGCGATATTTTGGCCTCTAACTCTGATTCTGCAACTGCAAGTTTTCTTTAGACCCCTGACCAACAATCACATCAAATACTTAAAATATTAACTTGATAATATTCTTCTGTTCAGTATATTGTTCCACTCATGATTTCAGTTAGATATACATTATTTTCTTAATTTTCTTTTACTTTTACTCTTTTACATGCACACAATCATTCATATAGAATATGCCAAAAAAAAAATAATAATTATCATAAGGTAAAAAACGTAAAGGTAATAAACAGTTCTTACCTGGTCGGCAGTTAGCCAACAGAGTGGTGGGAGGGGAGTGAGAAGCGGAGTGGGGGATCGCTCAGCTGTTCTCCATCTCCTCACATTTACTGGTACAGTATACAAGCGACACAGTTCATCCAGGCAGTCACCATGCTGACTCAAAAGACATGTGTGGCTGCTGCCTGTATGCTGTGACGTCACATTGGGGGAGGAAGACTGCGGCTGGCCACAGTCACTGCTTCAATTAATACAGACCTTCACTTCCCACATTTGCACACCCATGCTCTTCACATTTTATAATTTTATATTACTGTATAGAGTATACAGTATGCCCCCCAAGTTCGCGGATTTTTACTTCGTGGTTCTTGGTTATTTGCGGATGACACCCTCGATGTACCCAAGAATGTCTGTGGGTAGTTTTAAAGTTGCTGGCATTTTCGCGGCTGGGACAGGGAGCCATTCGTTCTAGTAACAGTAATTTCCTTTACCTGTATTGCAAATATTGTGTCTGTGTTTACAAACACACCACACATATATACAGTACTACAGGTAAAAGAAATAATTGTCCTAAGGGCAAACACATAAAGGGAATATACATTTCTTTGTACACAAGTAAAAATGTTATTCGCAGCCATTTTGAGAACCTAGCCCTGTGAATTTGGGGGGCCCCTGTAGTACCTAAGTTTTTGATATATGTGAGTTCAACATATGCGAATTCACTCATATACGAGAACCTTATTCCTACCAGAAAGTCAATTTATGCAAGCAAGATTTGCCCTTATGTGGTTAAGTACGTCGTCACCAAGTCTCGTGTTTTGTCGGTTCTTGTCGGGTGTTGTGCCGCTTGTACATCGCTTCCCGCCACAAAGCACTCAGTCTCACACTCGCCCGCATTCCGTGTGGACTACCTCTCTATAACTCTGGAGGATTCTTTCATGATTTGGTGTTTTTTGCACCCATTATCCATATTTCTCCAGTCATATGGCTTGCAAGCGTCCTAACTTTAAAGTTAACTTTAATAACAAAGCACGGAGTTGACTTGAGGGTACACTCACAATCTCTCAATCCCAGGACCACTTTGCATCAGTTATTGCGGCTTAATGGGATATCGTTGTAATTCAAAAGTTTCTTTATCCTTTTATTGCACCTTAGAGATACAAGTAAATGTTTAAATGTGTATCTTGTTTATCCTGATATTTATTAGATATACAAGTAAATCATAATAGCTGAGCTGTCATTTTTATATCATGTGATAAATATTTCTTCTACTTTCCACAGGACTTACATTCAACTATTGTTGCGGCTTTCCACTGTGCAAGTGTGTGGTTGGTGGCTCACCCATACCTGCTTCAAGATAAGGAATGTCTGGCAACAGTTCTTGAAGTTGTGGAACTCGGTATCTCAGGTTCAAAGTCACAGGTAAGTTGTTTATTAAGAGATATACTGTAATAAAAAAAAAAGTGGAACATAGGCTGAAACGTAGAGATTTTGAGTGTTAAGAATTTTGTTGAAATGAATATTGTTTTACAAAGAATGGTATGCATTATTATGCCAGGTCCTCACTGTTGTCCCAAGTAGTGGTTTACAACACATGTTGAAGTGGTTATACTTAACAAGAAATTCAGTTTTCTGTATACAGTATCTCTCTTGTGTCCATTCACTCCTTCCTCTCTTTTCCCAATTGATAAACAAGACCAGTCGAGCGATGCTTCATAATTTAGCTTAAAGTTGTCTCATGCCTCCTTATTGCAACTGACTGCAAATTATTGACATGTCAGTCTCTCAGTATAAGTTACAGAAAAAAGGCTAATAAATTATTGGAACTAGGAGGTCAAAACTTGAGCTGATAAATCTTATGAAAACGACTATACAGTATGTGTTGAACCCACCGAGCCACAGTAAGGGACACAAGCTCTTCCCCTCCGGTCCACAGTCATGGTTCTGGCTGGGAGGTCTTTGGTTCTGTACAACTTCCTGAAATTATTTAAATATCAATTAACTTGTACAGTATTTATTATCATGTCTAAATTGCAATAGTGTTTTTGGTGTTACTGTAGAATGGTTTAACCCATCAATTGTGATATTGAAATTTAATTAATATTAATAATTGTAACAACATCATGGGCATTTATTGCTACAGCCAGTACCAGGGATCATCATTATATTTATATGTTGTGTGGGGCAGAGAAAAGCAAACCATATGTGAAACATTTAATAATAAGGGATTGTTTCCAAAACATTTAATGTAATTAGAGGAACCTCCAAGATGTTCAGTAATACCCTTTGAAATCTCAGCAAATCAGCTTACATTGGGGTCATTATAACATACTGTATTGTATAGCATTTATTATGGAGATACAGTCCTGACAACATTACTTGTTCCCTTTGAGTGATACATGATGGCTCAATTTAGTTACTTGTTACACTTAGACAACTGATTAATGTATAAATACATCACAATATTATTTATTAAGTGCTGATAAATACACTACAGTAATATTTACTAAGTGTTGAAGACAGTTGTTGTGGTAAAAACCAACCATCTTGAGCAGTGACTGCGGAGATGCATGATGAGAGAAGGAAACCATTGGCAACACTGCTTGGAGGGAGGCTGGTGATGATGGTCAGCTGGTTGGCTTTATAAACAAGCACTGGAAACTGAATACAATGCAATTATTCATCTGGCATTGGGTGTGGGAATTTTTCAGGAAAATTTATTATTTAATGACAATATTTTATTAACCCGGTTCCAAATGAACGTAAATTGTGTGAGAATTATGGTAAAACTGCATACTGTACTGTTGGGTTAACGGGGTCGAGCCACCCACCACCCTACCTCCCACACAATTCACTTCCCACTCTTAATTTTCTTATTTTAAAGTTTATTTCCTTTATTTCTAAATTGTATTAGAGCAATGAAATTATATTTCCATAACTTTTATGGTTTCTCAAATAATAATGACATGTGTGGAGCCTTCTCACAGCTAACAAGCACACTTGTGTTATGGTGATTCCTAGACTCCATATTCTCCCGTACACAGTACACCCCTACACTCTTATTTTTTCTTATCTTGTGTCTTTATATTACTGTACAGCATGCAGTATTTTCTTTATTCATAAGGCACACTTGTACATTGAAATGAGTTTTCTGCAAATTCTGTGGTTGTGGAACACATAACAATGGCATTAGCACAAAGCCGTGTCAAAGGCGACTGACATATTTTGGTATGATAGAAACTATTACTTGAAGGGCACTTTTATTACTTATTATGGTTAATTTTACATTATTTTATGTGCTTTTAATACTATTTATGTGTTGTATTCAGGTACAGTACCCACAGACTTAGTATAAAACAGTGGAGGATGCAGACAATGTATATCTGTATGTGAAAGAATTGACGTATAATGAAACTTTCTTCCAATATTTGTTAGCGATGTACAGTCCCCCAAAAAAGTATCATTATCTATGGGGCTCGATGTGATTCGAGGCCTTCCGAACAATGTTACTCGACCTGTTTCTGAACGGTTGGTAGTTCTACATACGCGACCTTTGAACATGAATGAGTATACAGTGGTCCCTCGGTTAACAAACGCCTCGGTCGATGAAATTTCGGTTAACGAATTACCTTCCATAAGAATATTCAATTCGGTTAACGAATTCCTTACGAATTCCTCTCAACATGTTTTCGCTTGCTCACCAGCTGGAATATTAGTCCGCCAATACAGTAATCGGTTCTAGGGCTTAAATTCGTTACCATTTGAGTAAACATCAAGAAGGTTGTGCTATTCAATAATTTTCCAAGCCTTATATTAAAATTTTTAGTTATTTTAACAATTATTTAACATAATTGAAGTACAGGGAACTAGTTTTTAGCGCGCTAATCAGCCACTTGACTCACCCAGAATGGCGTCAGTTTGTATCTCTGGTCAGTGTAGGTAACATCTTGCTTGAGACTCTCTTGAACATAAACTATTTTTACGTTTTTGCAGCACAGTTAATGGTCATTCTGAAATTTATTTTACATATTGACAATATATAGTGCAGTGCAGTGTTGATTTAAAGAAAATAATCTTGAATTACACCTAGTGAACTTAAAATTTTATGGGTGAAATGATGGCATGAAGCATGGGGTGATTTCTCTTCCACCCCCACTTCCTTCTCTTCTCCCTTCTCCTCCACCCCCACTTCTAATTCCCATCATCATCAACCAGGAGCCTTCTACATACACACCGCAAAGTAAGTGTGCTTTACTGCATTTATTTTTAGTTTGTATGTAATTTTCGGTGAGCTGGAACCAATTACCCAAAATCCCATTGAAACAATGGTTTCTGTTAACAAAATTTACGGTTAACGAACGACCTTCTGGAACGAATTGTGTTCTTTAACCAAGGGACCACTGTATCGCTCAGTTGAATTACAATAATTTTATTTTCACCTCTTAACAAAATGGATTTCCTTTGCTTTTTGGTCACAGAGCACCATTGTCACTTCATGTTCATTTTGCACTTAGGGTTGAATGGGGTGCCACTGGTAAATCAGGAAAGAACAGCAAAATGTTGTGTCTCTATAAAGTGTGTGCATAATGAATAACAATCGTAGTAGATCTTAGTTTTGTATTTATCAGTTTGGGGAGTCAAAGAAACTTTTTCCAGGACATATTCATTTATCAATTGTGGTAAACTGGAAATTGATCATGTTTTGTTGATCTTTAATAGTTACACCAACACACATGTGAACAAATAAAATTTTTGCCACAATTCTTTTCTTTTTTGTGTATCTGTGATGGTATATACAGTGGGTCCCTGACTTACGAACGCCCGCCGACACGAACGAGGTTAAACTTTATATTTACAGTACAGTATTTTATTTACCTGATGACTTATTTTTTACTCTCATATACTGTATTTTGTCATACATTTTTTTTCTTTTCTCTTAAATTAAGTGATTTTAGATGCATATAAGGACTTAAGCTATGGTATAGTGGGATTTTAAACATTGTTCTGTAAGTACGGTACGTATACACATAACATGTGTTTTGACTTAAGTATATTTCCGACTTAAGAACATCCTCAGGAACGGAACCCGTTCGTAACCCGGGGACTCCCTGTACCGAAAAGACGTAAAGGCTTCCCAATTGAATTTTCTACAAATTATACATACAGTATTGTTTCCAGGTTAAGTCGAGTGATGCCCCTCGCCTGAAACACGAAAAAGAACTCAAACCAGCGAGCATGAGAGTGAGAGATTCTGCTGAAGCCTTACTGTCATGTGTACTGTCTCAGGTAAGTGCCATCATATGTATTGTCTCAGGTAAGTACTATCATGTGTATTGTGTACTGTCTCAGGCAAGCTATAATTATTATTACAGCATTATTATTTTTTATTTTAAAACATTTGAAATCTTTCAATAATATAGTATCTAATGTACAGTACTATATACCTTTTACATATTTTATCAGCAAATGCTTGATATGGTGTACTGTATACAGTATTAGATTAATATGACAAAGGCATTTCGAAGGTAAATATAAATACAGTACAGTATATTGATTTTATAGTGATATTGATATTCAGAGGATTGATAGATTGGCTTATATGATGTAGAGGCTTTATAGATGACTTATTATACAGTAACAGTTTACATGGCAGATCTGTCTGTTATCGTACATAGTGAGCACATGGGTGGTTAATGCTGACATAGAGGACGTGTCAAACACATCTGAATCACTCGGCTTTAATAGAGAAAGTCTCTTGATTGCAGGGAGTGTGAAGGGCACAGCTCCTTGCTTATCTCTCATTCACTCACAATGAGTTGTTTGTTGACTCACACATGTTCTGTGATACTTCCTGTGGGATTAATTGTTTTGAATGAAATTTGATATAAGTACTGCATCATATTTGAATTACATTGATCAACTTTATCCTTGGACTAATTAATGAAAATTCAGGGACTCAGATGGTCAAGTGATGTTCAATCAAAATACAACCAGGTTGGGGGAAAGTGGATCATGGTGCCATATGTCATGGGTAGTGATGGATCACAGCCACAGGATAGCAGTCTTTTTTAATCCTAGCAATTGGAGGTTCCTTATTTTGTCATGGCTGTCCCTTGCCCTGGATCTAGTTATGTGATTATAACTTTCAGATGGGAAGAATTTGGACATCTTCTTGAACTTAAAAGTTTCAGCATTTGGATAAGTTGGTGATCATCGTAAAGAATAAGGGTATTACCAGAAGCTTCCTCAACATAGATATATGTTTGGTTAAAGTTCCACCATCACTCCAGGTCCAGAGATGGCTTAATGTTTTTGTTTTTTTTTGGGGGGGGGGGCAGAATTTATTAGGTCTTTATGGAGTAAATTCAAGAATTTCTCAAGAAAGGAAAACACACACAAAAGAACACCTGATGTAGGGTTGAAAAGTTCCACTATACATGCACTGGCAACATGGTAATGGTAAGTTTTTACTGTCCAGATACACGTGATTCCAGGAGAAAACACATAAAGAAGACATGGAACATTCCTGTCAATCATAATGAGTGATGAAAGTTCTTAGATTCATTGGTTAAAACTAAAAAATATACAAGGTTAGGGGATGAGATGTCATAGACTTGGGAACACTAAGGGACAGGAGGGTGTTGGAGGTGGTATCCCTCCTCACTTGGAGAGAGAGATAGAGTTCTGAGGTGTGGCTACTATATTACTCTTCTTTAGTTTAATGGGGTTTAATTTACCGGCTAATTTAACTTTGTCCAATTCACTTTTCATATCTGGCTTTGACTTTGAGTGAGGGAGGCGAGGCTTGTGTCCATGTCCGAGTTCTTTAACCTATAGGTTTGAGTCATCTAGGGATTTTTAACTACCACAAAAGTAAACTGGATACTCTGTTGGTACTCCAGTTTGACAGTCAGTGTTTAATTACAGGGCACACTGAGTGGTCAATGGTTCCCCAGGTTGGTGGCAGGGTAAATGTTACCCAAAGTAAGTTTTGGGCCTTGGAGGCTCTGCTCTTTCTTGGTTGGGATGTTTTTACTTGATCAACCTGATTATATTCATCATACATGAGACCTTTGAGACAATGGATCATTGTTAAAGTTCAGGATGGTATCTTTTGAGAGTCCATTCTTTAGAGAGGATGACTTAATGTTGGGGAGACCAATGTTTGTTCCTCTCTGTCTTACTCCAGAGCCAGATGTAGATTGGTTTATTATGATTGCTCTAAGTTAAAGTGCAAAAGTGAGCCTAACACTTAAATCTTATTGGTTTACCTCCTAGCTTTCATGTCTAACTGTCGTTATACTAGCCGAGTCAGGATCAGGCAACTCGACATGTCTCCATTCTCCTTTTGGGTTGTTTAGCTGAGCTAGATCCTGATGATGTCATCATGTTGCCGATGTCTATCAAATTATTAGATTGGATCGTATGTGTTCATGCTTGGCCTGTAAAAACTCTTCAGCCTTCTCCCTTATTAGGGTATGTTCATGCTACTGGGTATGGTTTAAATTTTTTACGGGGATTAGCCCACCCGAGCACAGGTCACTGACCCACTTTGGGGCCTGGGGGGCTAAAATGTAATAATAATAATATTAATAATAATAAATAATAGTCATAATAATTCATAATAAATAAAATTTATGATAAAACAAACAAAAATAAAATAATGATAATAATACAGTTACTGTAATAATAATAATAATAATATTAATAATAAAGAACTATAAATACAAAAATGAAAAAAGGATCAAAAGTGAGAAGTGATATATGTATGTTGTGTTGTCAATGGTAAGAGAAACAATTGAGACCCTGCAATTGCATGTAAATGAAGCAGAAAGTCAGATCAGCAACCTGGGACTTGGTCACAATTTTCGTGATGCCATATGGCAGCAGGGTCTACCATTAGACAACACATTATGCTTCCAATATCTTCCCAGGCAGAAGTACCTCCCTGTTTGGTAGCTGCCTACTACCTACCTACTACTACAGTATAAAGATAATCTAATTTCTGAATTTTGTGAAGTTTTAATCCCTAACCACACGAGTTGGGGCTCGGGTCAGGGGATTAAATCCACAATAGTTTCTGGCTTTGCAGAGTTAATCAGTTTTGTTTCTGTTATAAAATGGGTTGTCAGGGTCAATCCACAATTTCTATTTAAATTGACATACAATCCACATATGTTGGGAAAGAAACCAATGTCAACTTATAACTCGAGGTGTGCTCTCAACACATGGTAAGAGATGGGTGTGTTGTGTGAGGGTAACAAGCCAGTAACACCTCACATCATCAAACAGGATTTCATGACTAATCCTCTATTTCATTTCCTCACAGGTTGGTACTTTTCCATCAGTGTGTGGAGCAGAGTCATTGTCATCCTTACTTGATGAGATGACTCTTCTGAGACACTGTAACACGTGGGGTGGTTCAGACCAGCTTACTCGAGACACAGCTGCTCAACACTTCCGATATTTTGTTGCCCAAAATTCAATAATGCTGGCTCTCTTGGAACAACCGCTCGGCAATCACCAAGGTACGACAGTCTTTCTTTTGCTGCATAATTTTACATAAAACAAGATGAATGAACTTGAAGGTACTATTTCCTCCTTTAAGTATAGCACAGTACTGTCTACTCTGATATGAAGATTACAATATTCTACAGCCATGAACTCCTGCTCTTGGTTTTGGAGGCTTATCCCTGGTGGTTTTCGTCTTTAAATAAGTCATTAAAGCAAGATGCAGTGTTGGAAGATGTGTTGAAATAGAGAACAAATAATGATTTCCCCTCCCCCTCTTTTTACATCATGAATGCGACAGTAGTGGACTTTTGGGTAGCCGTAGATCTGTAAACAACTGCTGAATCCCTCCATGTGTCCACTCACCAGCATCAGTCTACCAATTGCTGCCATATTCACTTGAGTCTGTTTGTTTAGACTGATTAAAAATCTTAACAAAACCCTATAAAGTGAGTGGAAAGCATCCAGAAAGTGATATCTGTGTGTCTGGGAAAGAAAAACAATAGGGAAAAGTATTAATCCTCAGGTTAAATTTGGATGTCTTAAGGCATTTTGATGTTGGCAAATAAGCTGTTGACATAATCAGAGTGCTTAGCCTAACCATTGACATTAACTGCTACAGAGAATCTTACAAACAAAGAAGATAGAGGCCCAGCTGTCTGTGGACCAGTATTTTAAATGTCCGTCCTGAGATGAGGTGGAAGACAATCTTGCCACTTCGTCTCAATAACTCCGCCCCTGTTCATGTTTTATTGTTTCATATGATTTCCCAGCTTTTTTTTTATGTAGGAACCCATTATTTAAATTAATAAATTACAATGTCTTAGCACTCAGGAAAAACTATTTTCTCCAAGACTTCTGGTCATTCTGTGGGCTCTAAACAGAGCGAGTGACAGGCTCAATAAATAAATTTCAGGCGATCCTGAGAGTGTTAAATAGTTTTGGGATAGACAGTATCTTGTGACAGTATTATATTCACTTATTTTGTCTTGGGTTGATTATTGTAACTGATTATAGGTCTGACCCATCTAATTATCTATTGAAGAAAATTAAAATAGTGTTGAACAGGGTTGCCTGGCTTACTTTTGCTCTCCTACTAAGGACTCCCACTAACCCATTCTAGCCTTGTTTGTGTGGCCTGTCTCAGGGACACAGAGAGTGGTGTTCTCACATATCACTTGCTTTTTTTCCTTTGGTCATCAACTGGTATAGTATTTTATACTTCAGTTCTCTATTTTATACCATCAGATCCTCAGCCAACAGTAACAGCCCTAATACGGGGACCATTTGGGAGGGTGGCATGGACCATGCAGCTTCGTCACCTACCCAGGCACAAATCCTCAGCTAAGCTATACACTGTTAATCCAGGGCGTCCTCTGCCCACAAATGATGTGGGAATCAAGCACAACGTGAAGCCCAAATACTTCCCAGAAAGTGTGGAAAGAATACCTCTTTGTAAAGCGTAAGTCTCATGACAAGAACTCCTTGTGAGGTTCCTGTTTATTGCATTTCCTAAAATATAGTAATCATTTAGGGTTCTCAAATAAAAAAATTACCCTGTACTTTTTGCAGGTTAGGTTGACTATGTTTGATTGGTGTTACATGGTTTACAATATGAGGAGTCAAACTAGTGTGGAGAGGACAGAGCAGAAACATAAAAAAATATAAGCTAAGTAAAGAAAGTGACAGGAAAGATTAAAACAATAAATAAAATTGCTGTGCACTTATTATCATCTTCAGTATGAACTACACAAAGTAAGTCATTAGCCTTAGCCACCATTTTCAATTGCAATGTATCTTAAAAGTTCTCTTTGTTTGCTAAGTTAAGTGAGCAGTTTTAATCATACTAAGACAGGAAGGCTCCAGTGTTTACAATTCATAGTTATTCTTTGAGCTTCATAATGATACAAGACCCTAAAGTAGGGGTCCCAACCTGTTTCTCATGAGCATCATTGAGCTCTCTGATAGTCTGGCAGTGCTGTTCTACAGTGCTTAAAATTGTGCTTGCAAACATCAGTTCTAAGTTTAGAACCTTAGAACATCACAATATAACTCCTCACTGACAGTTATCAAGCAGAACTGCCTAATGTATTACAAAATCCGTTACTGTTGCCAGTGTCCCGTTAATGTTAGTTTGAAATATTATACCAATATAGTTTATTTTTGTTGAAAGTTACATTTTGAAAGTTTAATTGCTGAAAAAAATAAGAGTGACGGATTTGGCAGAGAAATGGTCAGTTTTGTGTAATGTACACAGACAGGATGCTGAGCTGATGGTGTGATCCTTTACTTTAATTTTTAGGTTTTTAGGGCATTAATACAGGTCTGAAAAAAAATTTGACTAGTTTCATTATGTATTCTTTATTTTTGCAAATATTCAATGCCGCTCCCTTGACCATATAAAAATAAGCTGGGTGCTCATCAGATTAAAAAGGTTGGGAACCCCTGCCTTAAAGATTAGCTTGATGACCCTCATTATTTATTTATAATTTTATTTTATTATATTTTTTTTTATAATTACTTTTACTGGTCACTTGCTTTTTCAAATTCTATTTTTTTTATCACTTTTCCATAATCATGTACACAGTACAGTAGTACTAACTTACCCAAACTTATAAGGCTCAACTTAGTTTTGTGTCATGACATGTCAGCGTGACTTACTTGGCTTATCTTAGTACCGTAATTAATGAATTTCATGTAACGGTAAACAAGGTATTGTAAAAAATACTAATGTGTAATCTTACTCTACTCAACACTATATCATTTTCACTTAGTAATTCAGTATAGTTTGGTTTATGATCATTTGAGTTCACTGCAGTAATGTTGAGTGTGTCTTTGTAGTCTGTAATGATGAAAGAAGGCGGGATTGTACAGTATTTATGTTGTGGTCATATTCAAGTTTTATTGTTAAATGGTTTTATTGCAGGGACAAGTCTATTCCAACTTTGGAGAGTGTGATTATGAATGATGAGAAATCTGCACTGGAACATGATAAGCTTCTTCAAATTTTGGACCATCAGGTAGAGTATTGTAGCACTGTGTAAACATCAGCAGCTAGGAAGTAAAATTGTAAAATTGATTTTAGGAATTCAATTCTTTTTGGCAATATTTTTCTGGTGTAGTCTAGTGTTATCTTGTAGAATTTTGAATATGCTGTAATGCACATTTAAATTGTGCTTTTCCTGATAAAGAGGTTGAAATGTGCTGAACATTCCATAAATATTTGACGACTATCAAACGTATTCAAGATCGTTTTACGTGGGTACTCCTCATGAGGAATCCTCATGGTGAGGTTTGCCCAAGCCATGGGTGTTGGTCCTATTCTAGGTGATACAAATTGTGGTGTTTGCGTGGGACTTGCTCCAGGTGTGTCAACATTAAAACAAAAAAGGAATGTTAGTATGCCTTACACAAACAGCTGATTGCAATTACTGTTAGTTGTAGGGAATAAAAATCAAATAAAGATACGGTATACTGAATCAATAGAATTATCATATACTGTATTGTACAAAGTACGAATCTTGTGGTATTTTTTTTTTTACAAGTTGCATGTCGTCTTGTCTATTTGTTTACAACCGACCTGCTCGGTCTGAGTGTACTGCATTCTCACAGCCACAAAAAATGAACAATTATTCCATGATGCTTCAATAAAGTTGCTTTCATTGGTACCAGATAACAAAATATGTTCTTTCTGTTTAATGTGGCAGGGCTCCAGGGGGGCTGGCTAGGGAGTTAGGTAGGTTAGGTAGGTTTCTTTGTTTGGTTAGGTCAGGTTCTATTACGTTCACTATTATTCATTTGCGACAAATTATTTGAATGAAAGGTACTTAGAATGTTGAGATATATCTAGAACTGGACCCAAAAATATTATGGGACATTATGGGCAACTTGTAAAAATTTACAAATTTTGTATACTGGTGATGAATGAGTTCACATGTGTGTGTGAGGTAGAGTGAAGACTTCAGCATCAGCATTGACTCATCCTTGACCTAGGCTAATATGCTACAAGTATTGAAGTATTTCATTAACTTCGGATATACTATCTGATTAATATATCACTGGACTGGCTCGCCCCGGGTGACGTTCCAGAACGCGCCCCTTTTCTTGCCAATGTTTAAATGCCCAGCGCGGGTTATCAGGCTCCAGTGTGAATATTTGCGACCCGCCACACGCTTGGCCACAGGGGAGCTTCCTAAACATAATTACCTACTTTGTTTGTTTCATTTTCATTGTTTGTCCATTTTATCATATTGTGTCAAAGTAATATTGCTAAAAGTAGTGTAGTTGTATTGAAGTGCAGTATTACTGTAAAATAATGCTATGATTACATTATAAATGTATTTATTTATGGAATAATTATTATTTTATGCATTACTTGCTCTACCAAGCACAAAGACAGCTAGACAGCCTGGCGACCGATTGAGTGTGTGTTGCCGAGCACTTTTTATGAAAAATAAAGCAAATAAAATATTTTAAATTTATTATTTATAGCAAATAAGTATTATGATCAGTAAGTATATGCATTATTGGCCACCTCAGACACAAAGGCAAGCCTAACATAGCTGCTAAGTGCTTAGGTGACTACGAGGCTCGCCGTCATAACAAGCTGTCCACTTATCTCCCTCGCCCCTCCCTCCCTCCGCGCTGCCAAGGAAGTTTCTAGAGGGTCAATATATAGTTTTTTTTATTGTTTTTTCATTTAAAGCGGCACCCTAAACCGGGGCTTAAGGGTTAAAAATATTGACAGCAAAAGAGAAATCTTCCTGGAGTGTGTCAATAATTCCAGTAATATCCGTCTTGAGGATTCCCTACGCTTCTTGAAATTAAAATGTGGGCAGTCCCCATAAGGAGATCTCAAGCTAAACGATCTTAAATACGGCCGTATAAGTCCATGCTGATTCTGATACAGGTTCCCTCTTTTTTTTTCTTTACCAAACATGCACTCTTGAGAGGTTTTTCTTCTCTTAATATATTTAAAAGCAACTTGCATTACATTTGGGGTAGACATTGTTTGTACAAATACCTGAAGTACAGGGTAAATAAATAAAAAAGAAGATGGGGTGGGGGTTGGGTGAGTGAGTGCATCTACCCTTTCTGAAAGCACACAAACAACTGTGCAACTCTTGGGTTTATTACATAGCTGTCATTGTTGATGAAAATTAAAAAGAGAAAAGGTCAATATTGGCAAAAAAAAGACCAAATAGGCTAAACCACCATCTCTTCTGGTTGCATATAATAAGAGGGTGAACAACTAAAATTGAACAGTCTTGTTCATCAAGATATGACTGGAATATTTTAAGTCTAGTTTTCAAATTGGCAGCCCCTGTATCTGTCACCACATAACAATCATTACAGACTAAGTCAGCTGCTGTTTCTCCCTTTCTCTTTAAATTACTAAAATTGAAGATAAATTAATTATTAAACTATTACAAAAATCAAATCAAGTCACAAGTCTCAAGTAAGAAGTCAAGTCAAATTAGATTACTGTGCATCCAAATTCAAGTCAAGTCTGAATTACAAAAATTGGGACATGGGCCAGATTCATGTCCCCACCTCAGGATGGTACTGCTGTAGGGGGTAAAAACTTAATATATGGGTTCGTAAGAGTGTTTGTTAGGAGAATAAGAATATATTGAGAGAGAGACTCTGACAAAGGAGGTAAAGATGCATTTATCTATTGGAAATTTGTTGGAAGAAGCAAATTACATGTGACAGTTGATGTGCTTGAGAGCAATATATGGGCTGAAGGATGCAGAGAGACAGAACTGCAGAAATATGGAAATGTGGAAGTGTATGGCAGATCTGACCAGGATTTGTTTAGAAGGAATGGATTTATGAAAAGAATGGGAGAAAGCCTAACAAAAAGAGTGTACAAGTGTATAATTCAGATGTGGAAGGTGGAAAGGAAATGGATTGATGGATGTATTAGAAATGAAACGTGTGTGTGTGTGTGTGTGATGATAGGTTTCGTGAGGCAACGTGGATAAACCAAAAAATGCCTCATGGCTTTGTTGTTAAGAATGAATGAATGACAACAAATGGTGAAAGAGTTTATTTGCTCTTAGTTTTAGCCTACTTGCAGTACACCAAGAAAGAGTCTAAGAGTGAAAAAAATATATATATGTGTTTTTATTTGACATAATTTGCACTCAAGAAATTTTATTTGTTTCTTTCAACAGATTGCATTTGAAGAAAGTGTTCGGCGGCAGGTCGAGAGGGAGACGTCAGAGTATCCAGATGTTGAGACTGAGTGTGTTGCACCTCCTCTCTGTCTTGAATTTCAAACAGCCCGTCTCCTCCTGTCCCATTTTGGCTTTTTGTCACTTGACGCATTGCAGGTAAGATAACTATACATACAAACATACTGTATATACTCAAGTATAAAGCGATCTCATATATAGTTTGATCCTTGATTTTGGGGTAAAGAGAGCCTGAGTTTTACATAAACTCTTGTACCATTCAACCCTAACTTTTGAGAAATATTAGGTATATTCCTAAACATATTGTGGCAACACACAGAGTCACACCAATGTGTCTTGGTCATGACCATCACCACAACAACTGACATTACGATCAGTGTAACCAACTCTCATGATAACATCCTTCCCTTCATGACAACACACACACACACACACAGTGTTCAGTTCAATGCCTCTGTTATCGCTCCCCTCCTTCCCTTCCCTACATGCCACCCCTTCACCACCCTCTTGTGTGGTAATGTTTCTCTTTACATTCAAGATCCAAATAATATTTTTCAGCAGTATTAGTCTCAAAATATATTTTTATTATAATTTAAGCTTCCTCTCACATTAGTAATTTGTGTATAAAGTTGCCAGGTGTGATCAGCTCCACCTGTTGGGCAGGGAGACTCAGTAACTACACTAGGCACCGTGTTGTTTAACTTGAGCTGTAAGAAGTGCTATATATGGGTTGAAAATCAAACTAAACCAGAGGACTCACAGGGTGTGTGTCAGCGGTTCATTCTGAGTGCCGAGGTCACAGACTTTTTGCGGTGATTGTTATTGGGAAATCTTGATTTGTACTGTACTGTACCTGTATAGGTACAGGTAAACTTTCACCCATGACAGAAGACTCTTGAGTGGGAAAATGTGTATACTGTACATAGCAGAGGATTTTTTTTTAACTCATTTCACTGTGTGACAAGAATATAACCTTTTATACTGTAAAGAAATATTAGTGGTTTATTAGAAAATATTTATTAGTATATTTTGCAAACTTTAAAGAGTAAAAGTTTAAACTACAAAATGCAGATATAATTAATTACAGCATACTTAATTCACAAAGATTAAGCTACTCAAACAAAGAGATCATCAACAATTGGTGCAGTTTTCCAGTGCCATCTGTAACATCACATCATGTATCTCAAAGTTTCAGCTACAGTCTGTCTCCTCATCTCACCAGTACTGTATAACCTCATTTATTAAATCACTATCTCCTTGAACCGTCCTCTCCTTATTAAACTCTGTCTGCTGCACTTTTTACCCCATTTACATCTTACAACTCATTCATCTGTCTACCAACACATAGTATAACATCCTTCAATCCTCGTCATCATTCTGCCTTCATTTTTACTTACGATTTTATTTATTTTTGAACCATGTACAATATCCCTGACTATCAACTCTCCCTTAGCACACAGATCAATAACACTATCTTTCTTTTCCATTCATTCCTGGCACTCTTTTATATCTCCACAAACCCCTCCACTTCTCTCTTATTAACTCCTACATTTAAATCCCCCACCACTGTTACATTATGTCTCACTTTAAGACTTTAACTACAGTTATTCAGGTCTTCCTAGAACCTGTATACATATAGACATTGTTGGGGGCTTGCATGGCACATTGACCTTAGTGATACCATTCTATTTACAGGAATCAGTTGAGTCTGCAGTGCCATCTTTGGTTGCTCTTGATTCAAGTATGGCAGGCTTTGCTCGAGATCTGGATGTCCTTGACACTACCAACAACCGAACTGTGGATACAGCACATATATTTTATGTACGGGCGGGTCAGAGCGCCCCACAAGATATAATGTCCAATGTGGTAAGTTACTTATATATTTTTGTGTGTTATGTAGATATCTTTGGAAGTAAAACCATTAGGAATAAGTTTTCTGTATCCATGCTTTTTGTAAAGTGTGATTAAGAGTACAGGTATCCTTCGTTTAACCATGGGGTTGTGTTCCTGAAAAATGCCACATCCCCACTTATCCCTCGCTTAGTAATAATTTAGCTTAACGGGGGATAAGTGAGGATGCAGCTTACTATCAGATAAATTTTTTAGTAAAGCCTCAAAGATACCTATAAGTACAGGTATTACTATAATTTCTTGTGCATTCTGGCACCACCTCTAACCATTCCCCACCACTATTACTACAGTACACCCTAAGTCAAAATTACCATCAGTTACTATCATCACTCTGCATGTCATCTACCCATGAATTTGTTTGCAAGAAATAAAGTTCAGTTAACCTTACCTACTGTGTCTGAAACCTTAAAGTAGCAATTAAGCATTAAATCATTTACTGATATTAACCTGACCATAAATTTTTTCCATAGTAAAAAGATATTATTATTTGTATGGTAGATTTAGGAGGGTAAATGTGAACATACAAACCCATTATTGAGGTCTAGGAAGTGATCAGGCAGTTACTATCATTCTAATATCCTAATTGTGTATGCACAATACCCTTGTTAATTCGACAAACAAGGGGCTCTGGGTCACTCAAATTACCGAAAAATCCAAATTAACCAAGTTCGGATTATTTTGTCAGTACAGTATTCGACAATTTCGAATTTTTTTGTTTGATTATTCGTCCACTTTCTGTTCAGTTTTTGTGTCTTGCCTTAGCTGTCACATAAAATAATCTATTTATAAATACTGTACAAACATAAATATTTTCTAAATGAACATACAGTCATAAAAAAGTGAATAATACAATATAAATAAATGGATCACCAAGGAGTTAGAATTTAGTTTAAATAGCTTGTATTTGGTTTAATAAACAAAATTATGAGTGATCCAACTCACATTATCATTCAAGATGTCAGGCTATTGATGATTCATCATTGGCCGAGCGGTCAACCAAGCAAATGCAATTGTAAATATGTTTTCTATACTCTTGAGGTGAAGTCAGTGGCAGGCTGACCCAGCCTGGCCAGTGAGGCTAGACAACTTGTGGCATCTGTTTATCACCGTGGAGGATGCATCGCCTTTGTTAGCTCTTATCTTGTTTTTTTACAATCAACCCTAACCACAATGAGTCCAAAGAAGACTGGAATTATATGAGCAGTGCCACTCCAAAGATGAAGAGGAGGACCAACACCTGGACTCTGGTGAAAAGTGCAGGATATTTGTAGTTAATCTTCAAATGGGTTCACAATCACTAAACAAGCTGACAAAATTAAAGACCAGCCAAAATCAGGGACACCCTTGAGTGCCAAGCGATTATCTCAGAGCTGCAGTAACTTGTTGGAAATATGGAGAAGACTGTTAGATTCTTGGACTGAGATGCAGAACCAACGCAACATGCTCCTGAGTCATATGGTCATCTGGTGATCATGCAGAAAACCTAAAACTCTGTATGATGTCCTGAAAGAAATTGTAGGTGCAAGTGCAGAGTGAACACTTCATCACAAGTCATGGCTGGTTTTTTAATATGGAACAACGTGCATAACATGAATATTAATGGTGAAGCTGCAAGTGCTGACAAGGAATCTACAAAAGTTTTCTTGAACATTTGGAGCAAATAATTTGAAAAAAGGATGAGTACAGACCAGACATAACGGGTTGAGGAACTAAGAGCAGTTAGAGGAAGTGTTTGTGTAGACAAAATATTTTTGTAACAATGCTTGCAGAAAAATACATATAACACAGGAAAAGGTATGTGCATTGATGGATCTAAAGAGGGCACATGATAGGGTGTATCAAGAGGCACTGTAAGAGGTGATGAAAATTTATGGAGTAGGAAGAAAGCTGTTTGATATGTTGAGGGTTTCTAAAACAGTATTGCTTGGGTTAGGGTTAACATATAATTAAGTAAGAGCTTAGATGTGAAGGTAGGATTGAGGCAGTGATGTGTGATGCTTCCATGGTTGTTCAGCATATTTGTGGGTGGAGATTTTCAGATTTTTGGAGTGGTGAGGGAAGTGAAAGCAAAGTGGACTAGGTCAGGAGTGAAACTGAAGCTTAAAGATAGGGGGAGAAGTTCTGATAGGATATTGCCCTGTGAAATATGCAAGGAAGTCAGGTTTCATCTTAGAAACATCTCAACCAATGGCTCACTTGACTATATCTTTTTAAGTTTCATAGGTGGAATTTTTAGAGTGTTAGGCATGATAAATACAGGTGAAATTTGATGTCTGTGACCCAAGTTTAAAATTGAGGGTATGAATCAAATGAACTACTATAGCTAAGGTTGATCATGGTGTACTTATCAGTCAGAGATTGTTCCATTAACCATGGCTTGACAGTGCAGTAACCATTTATGCTGCATATACAGACAGAACAATGCATCAGGTATCCTAGCACACAACTTGGATAGCCCCCTGGGCAAGACAAGTTCTGCCTTGTGGTGTTCTGGTAGTGTAATCTCACACAACACTTACCGTATCTCTTACCCTCAACCATAAAATTAGATTTTAGAGATGAATTCTTTGATTTTGATTGAACTAGGTGGACAGTTGCTACTGTATGTTTAACCATCCATTGTCTACCCATCTGTTGGTATACTTTTCATGTTTTACCTTTTGGAACTGTCTGACAGTATTGAATTTTCCAGGTTAGCTCAAGTTCTGTACATCCTCACTTCCTGGAGTTTTTGAATGGCCTTGGGTGGACTGTGAATGTTTATCAGCATCCTGGCTGGACTGGTCTCACCTCTACTGCCTTTACAGTTACTTCACCACCCTATGATGGTACAGGTACACTCACCTTTCTCAGTTTCATCATACATTACTTAAGTTGATTCATATTTTGTAATGAAGTTGGAATTAAATAAGTTCTACCTGTAAATCTATATGTCTGAAACTTAGGTTGTACTCCACTACAGGGAAGTTAACTGACGTAACCATTATCCCCAAATAAGGTTAATACTTACTTTTCTGTATTGTTAGAAATTTCTTGAACTTAATATATAGTATTTTCATGTTATGGTCTTTTCGTACACTTACCAATGTAATGAAAATATAGATGTGTCCTTTGATAGTTATGACTAATAGCCATGTTGGTGAACACACATTGGGTTATGAAGGAGTGTCGGGCAGAAAAGGTTAAAGAAGAGGATACTGAAGGCAAAAGAATGTTTAAGAAGAGGGCAAGTGGGCTTATCATGTATGAGTCAGATGACATAAAATTCCAGATTAACTACTTGTCAGAAAATTAGACAGGAAGCATGTTAGGGATGTAAAGGTGATGGCAGGGATGAATGTTCCTTGCAGCACATATTGTTTGTGTGTGACATATTGTTTAAAGGGAACAGGGAAAGTTAGAAGGTGTTTGTTTGAGAAGAAGAGTGTGGAAGTTAAAGGAATGGAAATAAAGTAAACATCTAATGTTGGGTTAAAAATATTGGAAGTGGCCAGCAACAGTGTGATGGGCAGTGTAGTGAGTTACTGGGCCATTTTTAAGTATATTCTGTTTAATGCAGCTGACAATAAGTGTGGCTGGATGGCACCAATTCTATTGAGTGCAGTGAGTGTGTAAGGTGGGTACATGAGGTACAGTGGAATAGATGACAGACTGTAGGATATTGCTGACATTAAGTGTCCTGTATTCGCAGGTGATCATGTGGCATTAGTAAGGCTGGATTGTGTTTTAGGAGTTTTGCTACCTAAGTGATATGATGAGTGCTGGAGGTGGTGCTGAAGCTTACTCAGTTGCAAGAGTCATGAGTAAGTGGAGGAAGTTTAAGGAATTGTTACCTTTATTGATGGCAAGAGGACCCTCTTTTTTGTGTGAAAGGAAAGATATATGCAACCAGTGTGAGAAGTGTAATGTTGTATGGTGGTGAAACATGGGAAATTAAAAAGGTTTACATTACTTATGATAAGTACTGTAAACCTTTTTACATAAGGTTACATAAGTAACTTATGTAACCTTCAACAAGCTGATATGGGGATAGGAGATGGATGTGTAATGTGTCATTAAAAGATAGGAAACCCTGCTTAGAGCTAAGAGGGTGGCTGGATATTAAGAGTATTGGCAAGGTTATACATAGAGGTAGGCTGAGATGGTTTGGGCATGTGAAGAGAATGGGGGAAATCAGCTGGGTCAAGAAATGCTTGAGTTTGAATGAAGAGGGGAGGAGAGGCAGGGGTAGACCAAGAATGACATGGAGAGAAGTTGTAAGAAATAACATCAGAATTAAGTACATGACAAGTGAGGCTCAGGAGACTGCAGCGTGGAGAGCTGTCATCAGGTAATCATGTCTAACTCAGGCAAAGGTTAATAATGGTAGTGAAACAGTGATGATGATGAGTGTTAAGAACAGGTGTTATGAAGTAATAGATAAATTTAACCCTATTCTTGCCTGTTAAACAAAATATGTCTAAAACTCTTGCTACTAAGAGGAACACTGTTAGAGCAATTTAGAAGTAAACAAATTCTACTTAGGCAACTCAAGCAAGGTGCTACATACCTGTAGTTTAATACTGATATCCCTTAACATTCCACTTAAAGGACCAGTTGATGTCAACCATGGTGGCAGTGGCTTCAGTGGACGTTCCCATGTACTGTACTGGTCTGATGCCTTGAGTGAGATAGCCTTTGTTGTCCCATCCCCAACATTTGGGCAACCATCACCAGGTCATCAACCATCAAGCACAAATAATATTAATACAGGTAAAGTTTATGTAATTCAGTTTATTTCTTCTTTACAACACAGTAATTCTTTGTAAATGTCCTTAAGTCAAAATTATATAACAGGTAAAATCAGAGATGGAGGTGCTGTACTGTACCAGTATATTGATGGTAATGTGCCAGTACCAGTCTACTGTAGTACACCCGCATAAAGGGAGTGTAAAATAAGATTTTCATTGCTAACTTTTGCTTTATTCCATATTCAGTAAGTCCTCATTTAATGTTGCCCCTGAAAACGATGTTTCGTTATAACGTTGCTATTCTTTAGACACCCATGATTCGGATAACGTCGTCATGGACTACTTTGTACGGCACATCACCCTCTCTCATTTTGGAGCGCTACGCTCTCACCCGCGGAGCGTCACGGCATCCCCAAGCATCGTCAGTCTTTGTTAGACTTCCACAGCGTTCGTACGTGTTTAAGTGTTTTTGCCCATAATACTGTACTCTAACTATTCGAAATGGCTTCCAAGCACCCATCAAGTGCTATGATGCTAGTGTAGTGAAGAAGCAACGTAAGACCATTACCCTTGCTACGAAAATGGAGGTTTTAAACCGGTAGGAGGAGCCACCCGCCGGGTCTCAGTGACTGGCCAGCCTCCTCCTCCTCTGCTCCACTACACACTCGCTCCACCATCTCCGTCCATCAGTGATTACAATACAAATGGTTTAGTTTATTTATATAAATAATATTTTCTATAGAAATGCCATTGAATTTCTGCATACAGTATGTAATGTATTTTATGGGGCAAAGGGAGGCTGGGGAACGTAACTCACGTATTTTATCTATTTCTTTTGGGGAAAATTGATTCCGTTAACGTCGCGGTTTACAGGGACAGAACCATGACGTTAAGCGAGGACTTACTGTACTATACTAGAAATAGGATCTTTGCATCATAGCAAAATTGCATTCTGTGAAGTCACATGAAATAGAGAAGACCTGTATTTGGGAAGTAACATAACATAATGATAGTACAGGTAGTATTGAAAGAGAAATGAAAACAAGACCAAGTCAAGTAAAAGAAGTAATTATTAATCTTAGGGATCTGCTAAAAAGGGATATAGTATTAATATTAGCTTGAGAAAAAGGCTGCTCTTTTTTTTTCTTTTTTTTTTGTTTAGTCCATGGCCCGGGGGCGGAAAAAATAATAATATGTAATAGAAATTTATAACAAATTAATAAAAGATTATAAAAGATTATAAAAAAATATTAAATAAAAATATAATAATAATAATTAATAATAATAAAGGACCATAAATAAAAAAAAATAAAAAAAATCAAGAGTGAGAAATGATATACAGGGTACTGTATGTTGTGTTGTCAAAATAAGAGAAACAATTGAGACCCTGCAATTGTGTGTAAATGAGGCAGAAAGTCAGATCAGCAACCTGGGACTTGGTCACAATTTTCATAATGCCATATGGCAGCAGGGTCTACCATCAGACACCAAATTATGCTTCCAATATCTTCCCAGGTGGTATTACCTCCCTGTTTGATAGCTGCCTACTACCTACAATATGTCATCAGTGCTGTTGGCAGGTAGTAGGTAGTAGGCAGCTACCAAACAGGGAGGTACTACCGCCTGGGAAGATATTGGAAGCATAATGTGTTGTCCAATGATAGACCCTGCTGCCATATGGCATCACGAAAATTGTGACCAAGTCCCAGGTTGCTGATCTGACTTTCTGCCTCATTTACACACAATTGCAGGGTCTCAATTGTTTCTCTTACCATTGACAACACAACATACATATATCACTTCTCACTTTTGATCTTTTTTTTATTTACATTTCTTTATTATTAATATTATTATTATTATTATTACAGTTTCTGTATTATTATCATCATTATTTTATTATTTTATTTTTGTTCGTTTTATCATAAATTTTATTTATTATGAATTATTGTGACTATTATTTATTATTATTATTATTATTATTATTATTATTATTATTATTATTATTATTATTATTATTATTATTATTATTATTATTATTATTATTATTATTACATTTTCGCCCCCCAGGCCCCAATGTGGGTCAGTGACCTGTGCCCGGGTGGGCTAATCCCCGTAAAAAAAAAAAAAATAAATAGTGTCAGAAGCATGAACACTTCCAGATACCAGGAGGCTAGAGCCCTTTGAAAAGTGGTGCTACAGAATAATGGTAAAGATAATTTATTTTGATAGATAAGCAAATGAAGAAGTACAAGTACTAAGATGAGCTAGAAAAACAAGACAAATTCTGAAAATCCATTTATTGTAATAAGAAAACTGAAATGTTTTGGTCTTATTAGGGATGAAGAGATAATGATAGAAATGTTAATGGGTAATTCTGAAGGTAGTGGGGCCAGGGAAGGCAGATACTGGGATAGGTGAATAAATGTAAAAGGTGGGTTTCTGGAGAGGTGCAGTATCTGAAATAGCTACCGGTATATGGTTAAGATAGTCTAAAATGTTGAGGGCAGAGGTCACTATGGTTGAAAACCCTTAGACATGAGGACAATACCTTGGTTGAGAAATGGGAAAAAATAAAATAAATCAAGTGAGAAATGATGTTTATCTTGTGTTTTCAAAGTAAGACAAACAATTGAGACCCTGCAATTGTGTGTAAATGAGGCAGAAAGTCAGTCAGCTGCCTACTACCTACTTATTGAAAGGTCAACATGTCCAGATTTCTTGGCAGACATTTCCTTAGCTAAGTATCAATTCTATACCTGTAGTTAATCCTAAATGTCTTTCTATTATTGCTTATGAAGAACTAAAGGTGCTTAGAATTAATTGTGCTTTATCTACACTGCCTTTAACAGGCTGTCAAACCTTGGTGACCTTTCATTTTCAAGATGTTATACCGTACAAGAGTTTTATTTATTTCTACTTTCAGTTGGATTTGTCCTCGACCAATGTGACCGTGTTGGAGGTGGAGGAACTGGTGGTGGATCTGGGAGTGAACGTTCAGATTCTCTTCCTCCTTATGATGGTGATGTAGAGACTGGATCATCTATCTCCTCACATACTTCACAGGTCAATTAACAATAGTTTTTATTTAAGACAAAGATAATTTTGATTAAGAAATATTATCCATTGATATAAAGTAATGAGCTTGACTGCATCATCAGAGAATTGAATTTGGATCCTTACAAGAAGCAGGTTTGTCATTCTCCCATTTTACTGAAATCAGTCATAGATCAGAGATGAACCTTCCATCATGGACTAATTTAACCAGGTTCAAAACAGGATACATAAAGTATGGAAAGTTTCAAGGTCCTGAAGTCCACAAGTTTAGAACAATGAAACTGATCGCCCTCCATGCTTCAAGATTATTCAAGCCAACCTAGAAGCTCTGTAGATTTACTGTCTTCAGAACTACTGTTGGCTGTAACCAAGCAAACAGCATATCAGCTTTGCTGATTTTATTTTGAGATTAAACTCTCATACCCCTGTATATCACTATTAATTCTTACATCTGTTAATTTCTCCCACCTTTTGTTTCCTGTTTTTGCTCTCTAGTCACTTACAGTGGGGTGAGATTATTTCAGGTACTACTTATACTGGTTTGTGTATTTGACAAAAGATAAGTATATTTGTTTCATTCTGGGTGAAGTTACAGTTTATTTAGAACTACGGTAGAACTAATAAATCAAGAGTTGAACAGCTTTCATAAGCATTTGCAGATGAGGTGGATAGATTTTGACTCATTGTTCCTTCTACTTTTCTTCATTAATTTAAATCAAACTCGGTTCACAGGTTGGGAATTTTTGTGTACGTGTACAGGGAATCCCCGGTTACGGAAATTCACTCTCTTGGAATTTTGAAATTGTGACCAAAAAATTCACAATACAGACAAAAAACTTGCCCTTGCAGAATTTTGGCAACTTTTTAAAATTTTTAAAAAAAATTTTTTAACAAAGAAATTCACCGAAATTATAAAATTTATTTCGTGTGGATTCTTGGTGGCAGCTGCAAGAAAGTTTGGAGGGTGTCTCACCTCCCCAGCAGCCACTACAACAATGGCTCTGCTCAGCTTTAGTTCAATTATGTATCTGTGTTATTGTGTACCCTTCTTCAAGATGAGTGAAAAACGACCACCATGTAAAAGTGAAAGCAGTCGTGATAAAATATTCCATAAAAGAATTTCGTTGGACAATAAACATGATGTTTAGGAGATAACTTCCAGTAACTTTTTTATTGTACCGCCTCACCATACCACCTCCTGTGCAGTGTGTGCATTTATTGTCATGTTACATCATGAATGAATCATTGTATGTCTCTATTTTCATTCATGTATGTGCCTAAATTACATTTTTGGGCCACAAAAAATTTCAACAGGAACGCATCTCAACTTGTATAATGGGAGTCAATGGGAAAAATGGCTTCGCAATACGGAATTTTGCATTGCTGAAAGATTTTCAGGAACAGAACCCTTCCGTAACCCGGGGATGCCTGTAGTTTTATGCTTTAGTCTCTGCTTTAAGCACCAGTGGGGCTTTAAGGGAGATCCATTCAGTTATCTGTGTTTTTTTGTTGCTTGTACGGATAAGGTTTTTTGTTTACATCTTGTTGCAGGTGTTTTATAATTTTGCTAACAACCCCTTTCAAGTTTAGACTCATGGGGCTATTGAAAGGAGGAAAACTGATGACATAGTCATTAATGTATGAAAGTAATGCATCTCTGAAGACAGGCATCCTTGAAAAATCTAGGAGAAAAATTATCATATTACCAACTACTAAGATATATTTAGCAGTTAATTAATAAAGACTGACTCTTAAACTAGTACAAGAGTGTAATTTATGGAGTTTGAAACTAATTACAATCAATCTCTTACAGATATCATATGGCCATGGAAATGAAAATAAGAACAGGAAATTTGGTCGACAAACAAGCGCCATGTCCTGTAATGATCACAAAGTCTTTCTTGTGTGGCTTGAAAGTTTTGATGATTGTTATACTTTCCCAGCAAGTAAGTACAGTACAGTGAAGCCGAGTGCAGAGATATGGTTTTTGGTCACCATTTCCTCTCTCTCTTTTATTCTTTTCCTCCTCTTTCTTCATGTGGTAGACCTCCTGTACTACTTGAACAGCAATGATAGCCTTATGCATAAAGGTACCATACTGAGCACAGGGTATAAATGTAAACCGACCTCCTTTTCACCTTGACCATCAACTCAAGTTGTCGAGACATTATTCCTCCCTTACCATATGACTTAATGTGATATAGCATCATGGCTCCTACTGTTAGGTACATAAATCACTTTGATCCACGAATTCCTTCTTACACTTAAAAGATTTATCAGCCTCACTTCTACTAAGACTTTTATGCACAGCTTCTCCTGTGCATAAAGACATGTTAAAGGGAACCTGTGGAAGGGAGCCACGCACCCACACTACCTCCCACCTCCACACACTCTTATCTCCCACACACAATATGCTGTACCCATACACTCTTATTTTTATCTTTATAGTATGTACTGGACAATATACAGAAAACAGTTTTTTCTTTATTCTTAAGGCAAATGCTACATAATTATAACACTTTACAATACAAAACAGCCCTATCAGTGAAAACAGTTGTCAACAACCAGACTTATGGCTGATTTTCTTGAAGCAATTTAGATAAGCAGGGTTATGTTCAGTGTTTCCACTTGCAAGAAAATGTTCTTATTTTAAGGAAATTCTAAGGAAATCGGGAGTACAGGCTGAAGTAAAACTAATTTACTTGGAACCATACTCACTATGTATGGAAGGGAATTATATAATTAAAATATAATATTTGGGGCTAATTTTTCTCAATAAACTTGCATCTGACAGCGGAACAGCCACTTTTTTTTTTATATAGTCAGCAGCTGGCTGCCCTAGCCTGTGCCAGGCAAAGCAGTTGCCATATACTGTATAGTTGTGGTAATGATGGAAAAGTCAGTTGTTGGTCTATGTGACTGCCTAACTCTTTGAAGGCAGCAACTAAAATTACATGAACTAATACATGTTTTCACAATTTCATTTGGAAGGTAAATAGAATACCCATGCTCACATTTTGTTTCATTTATGATTCATGAGGGATTCTGCTGGTGGTCAGTGGTGCTGACAACTTGGCTTCTACAGCACAGGTACCTGAAAACACAAAACAGTAGAATACAATTACTGTACATTTATCAATTAAAATTTGCTACACTGTGTGTTGGAACGTCTGTCATTTAAATAAATTATGTTATCAAAGTACGTATCTCAAAATGTGTATGGAAACTTTGGAGTACTGTATAATGTTGGGAAAAAAATATGAAAAAGAAGGCAATATATTATATAAAGGTGGGGGCGTACGCTGAGATGTGTGTTTGAACCTGAGGCGGATAAGGAGCCATTAATCGGTACACAGGCCGATTGCGACATCCAAGGTATACCACCACAGTTATCTTCTCCAGGTAAATATGGATATAAGATAAATTTCCAGTTACTGCATTTTCCCTCCAATTAGGTACAAATGGAGCTACATGGTTTTCAGTATTCTTTGGGTTGTTATCTCTAGATTAGTGTTTGTGGTTTATGCTCCAAAAGCTTCTGTGATAAAAAATAAATAACTAGCATTGAAAAATTACATTGCACCTCTCTTCTTTGGTAACATTGTAAAGAACACAATTTAAGAAGGTGTGGAGTGTGTGAAAAAAAAATGGTACCGCGTATGTTCCTTTTCAGTCCAAGTTACTCATGTAAGAACATTTTTAAGGAAATTTAGCAAACTGCTTAAGGGAATTAAATTTTTGGATGTGGAAACAGTGTTCAGACCCCCCCAAGATTAATTTTTTGGGGACTTTTGGTTTATCTGGATTGGAGTCTGCCCTAATTAGTCAGGTGTACTGTATCAAGATACTACTGTACTGTATATAGTACTGTACTTGTATTAATCATGAAGTATAATCAAATTTTTTGTTATGGTACCCTGTACTGTATTATGAATATTTGTACAGTACTTGACATTTTTTTTCAGATGAGTTATTATGTGAGACTGTAACAGGCTTGGAATCTAGCTCATGGAAGGATAAGGAAGCTAACGTGTACATCATCTACATACATGCCCTTACCAACGGACTCTTCAGAATAAAACTCCAAGGACAAAATGCAAAGTAAGAATGTGATGTGTGAGGTGAAGGTTGTAATAGTCATCTTAGCTATTTGTCTGTACAGTGTCTTTACCAATGTGTTCCCCGTTTTAGTTTTAATTTACTGTAATGTTTAAACCTTTAGCAATGATTCTCATTTGTACAAAGGAAACTTTTCTTAACCAACATTCAAACTAAGTTTCTCTAATATACAGTAGTTAGCCACAAGTTACAGTGTATTAATGGATTTGGGAAAAAAAATGGAAAGGGTTTGGAGAAACAGAAGAAAAATTTGTGTTACTGTAAATTTTTGGGGAAGTTTGTCTGAGGGGGGTGGGGTGAAAATGGGGGAAAAATATAAGAAATCTGCCCGTCAATATTTCACTAAACACAAAATCCAGTATAGTACAGTAAAGCCTTGATAACTCGGCATGTATGGGTCTCTGGCCTTGCCGAATTATCCCAAATTCCGACTTATCGAGGCACCCCCCCTACAAAAATACAACATTAAAAAATTATCGGCCCACCATATATGTATACAGTAAGATCTTGTATTTCGCGAGTAATATAGACTGTCCTTCTGTGGAAGATGTCTAGTTCAGACACTCGGAAACTTTTCCCAGTACAGTGGGGTATGCTATAACGAATCTAATTGGTTCTAGAACCTTGTTCGTTATAGCATTCGTTCGTTATAGGATTAATCCGTTCCAGGCCCCCAAATACAACCACTTAACACTGAAAAATATAATATAAAATTGTAAAAAAGTGCATAAATATGCATCTAAACCCCTGAAATAATGAGTATCATTAATACTTGTAATAAAAAAACAATAAATTAGTAAAAAAAAATAAATAAATAAAATAAATAAATAAATAAATAATGTTCGTTGTAGGAGTTTCGTTCGTTATAGCATTCTCAATTTTATAGGTAAAACCGTTCGTTATAGGAATATTCGTAGTAGGATCCGTTCGTTATAGCATACCCCACTGTAACAGGAAAAGATTCCGGAGATAAGGAATTTTTCCGGGTTTGAGAAAGTCCTCTGGTTAGCCCGGAAATCTCTCATCTCCGGAAGTTCTCTGCACCATTATTCTGGCTATCACTGTAGTAGTATCTATGGCTGGAGACAATCATCACTACCTCAGAGAATACATGTTAACCAATATGTTCTTATTCATTGGGTTTTGCCTTATATACTGTACATTAAAAATATATTATAATAATAATAATAATAATAATAATAATAATAATAATAATAATAACAATAATAATATTTATTAAGTAAATACCGATTTACAATTGGATAAGCGTGTTTATAAACAATGTAGTTATACAGTTCAGCATGAATATAGACAATGTAGGTACATACTGTGCTGTACTGTATATGGTGTCCGTAGGCCTGTGAAAGTATACAGTTTCCTATGTGCCGTGACAGTGCAGGTAAACGACAGTGGTAAACAGTAAAACAACTTGACCAAGGATAGCTAACAAAGCTGTGAGGTGTTTATTTCCAGGAGGGTCCTTTGCTTAGGCTTACAATTGGCCTCTAATCAGTAATAGTATGTCTACAGAAGTACAGTATTAGTGAAAGTTTATTTGATAGAATTCAACAAACATTACATTACACTTGGACTATCCAAGGCTGGTGGATCATTATGCCAGTTCTACATTGTGGTTTAATAATATAGAAACTTTTCTCTTGCTGAAGCTTCATCTGTTATGTACTTCTTTATTTTTACTTTGAATTGTTTAATAATGTAACTGGTTATGATGTGGTCTTGTAACTTGTTCCAGTCTGTTATTGCTGGAAAGAAAAAACTGTTTTTCGCTTGACTGCAGACACCAGGTACCATAAAATTATGTTCACTCCTAGTGCCCTGCCAGTTCATATCCCTAATCCTTGCAAAGTTTGTTGTTAGATACTCGGGTCACAGTCCATTGAAAATCCTGTAAGCATGATTTAGCTTCAGTTGCTTCACTCTACCCACCACACTTAACATGTTCAGTGATTGAAGTACAGGTACTTCGTGACCAACGTGATCTCTTGCTTTCACGTCAAGAATGAACCTCACCGTCTAGTTTTGAATAATCTGGAGCTTGGATTTTAGCTTTTGTTTTATGGCAGAGTACCATGACAAGCAGGAATAGACCGAGTGGCATTGTTAAGCACCAAGCAAAGGGTCCTACAGGCTTCAGCTGAAATTCTTTAAGTATTTCTGAAGATAAATTTTATTTTGGCATTACTTTTTTTAACTATATATTTATGATTAATTCACCAGATAAATAAGTCAAGAGTTAGTCCAACGTATTTCACTGAGGTTACAGTTTAGATGGCTCATTTCCACATTGTACTCTTCAATGAATTTATTTACCTTTTTGAGATTTTTTTTTTATCCAAATAATATTGCTTCAGTCTTTCCAAGAAGTAGGAATAATTTGTTGTCTGAGTCTGTTTGCATGGCTCCAGTTCTGATAACTTGCTAGCTATATCATTTAGATCTTTACCTGACACTAAAATGACCAGACCTGCCACTGCTAAGTTGAGCACACCTTGTACATTATCAAGAAACAGTTAAACAGTGTCATTTTAGAGGTAAAATTTAAAAAAATTTGAAGGAACAAGTTGATGATCAGCCACTTCTCAATAAGTCATTCATTACCACAACTTATATATGATAATTCTATAATAACTTGCTTATAGTTTCAATATAATAAAAGTGGTAAAAATGGGTGTAGATAGAGGTGGTGGCTAGCTGATGCAGGGTGGTTGTTGTGGTGGGTAGTCAGTTGACAAACACCTGTCAGATGGATATTATGCAAAAGCCTTTTCATTGCATTTCATATTCATTTTTGTGTATTTCATGTAATTTTTATAAATTTTTAATTGTTTCTGCATGAATAAATTTCTTTTAGGGGGATAATAGTGAATAACATGAATCATGAGTGTTATGATTACAAGTGCCAAACTGAAGACTGAGATTGTCTTGGTATGTGTGACTTATGCACATTTTTTCACTTTTTTTTTTCATTATATGTTTATCAAACAATATTGTCACATTGCTTGTTTATGTATTCAGTTCATTCACAATAATGTGAATTCAATTTGTATACAAAGAAATCCATAACATTATGGAACATAGGCTATAGCACAGGATGATAGACTAATATACCATTGTATATCAACCTTCTCTATAACATAAATTTCTGCTATCTGGCACACCCCTGAGAAAGTTCCTGTAAAACTATGTATGTCTGTCCCCAACATTTTTACTTCAAAACACACAAACTTCATGGAGTAGGGGACAGGTTAAAACAAATATATGCACAGTATATGCAGTACCTTTATTATTTTACTGTATTGAATGGTATACTGCACTGCACAAATAAAGGCAAAATGCATAAAAACATACTTCAAAACAAACAGAAACATCCTATATTGGGGGAACAGTATAGTATATTGTACTACTCTGTACATACTGTACCTCATACTGTTATATAGCCAGTGGTGGGAGTAAGGCTTTGTCAGGTACAGTACGATAAGTTGTATGTATGCTGCAGCAAGTGGCCATGGAATTACTACAAAAAATTAAGAAATTAAATGCATTTAGCCATGTTTAATAAAAATCAAATATATGGGTCATTTTTCTGGATGATAACACCGCCATAAAAATTAAGAGGCATCTCATAAGAAAATGTATATTGTCTCTAAGGACAATAATTGTGGTGTAGAATGATTGCTGCTACTCTGTGTTTTCAGTGTGGCCTGGTGTAGTGTATTATCTCACATGGCAGGGGTCAGGTGGGTGAGTGGAAGGAAGTGTGGTTGGCCCAGGGAGTAGGTAGTGGTGGTAGGCATGGGTGGTAGTTGAGGGTGAGTGACATAATATTGGCACTTATATAATGTTGTGTTACTTTCCATTGTGTTTAACATATCTAAACATAGGTGAACTAGTCACTACCTTACTTCTTTGGCTTGGTCTTTCTGGCCAAATATATAGTTATAACCCATTAATCACTTTATTGGTACTGAATGGATACAATTTTATCCCACAGACTAAACATGGCTGGACCACTGGTGGATGGCCAAGTTGTGAGCAGAAGAGTTTTGGGCACTCTAGTGAGACAGACAGCGCTCAACATGTGTAGAAGACGACGACTTGAAAGTGACAGGTATGAACAAAATTTAAATGTAAAAGTTAGTTTTCTGTTTGACATATTCCTTACTGACAGTACAGTTACCCTTGTAAAACATTTCACAAGCACTGCAGCTTTACCACACTGCTTTATACTCATGTCCTTCTCTCACACACACACTCTCCTTACCTCTTAATCTTTTGATCTTATATCTTTCCTTACACCTATCATATGGTTTACTGTACCAGTGACTTGTGAGATCACCTACCAGAACACTTCCTGGCAGAGGCTGCCTTATCCAAGAGGCTGTATGCATTTTGATCCAAGGACATTTTCCTTTGGATCAATGTCTACAATTACTCACCCAGTTAGACCCCGGATTATGAAGCAAATTCCAACCACAAGTCAGCTCACTTCAAAAAGCTAGTACATAAAACCCCTGAAGCCTGTTTCCTTGACTCAGACCTCTTGTTGATGGTAATCTTGGTTACTTCCATATGTGGGGACAGGTTCAGGAATAGGTGTTGCCATCAAAGGTGTTATGGTTATTTAAGACTTCTAGATAGTAAAGATTTAACCCTTAAAACAGTGACATGCCACATATGAGTACAGTTATCCAGTTTTGACATGACTCATATGAGTACAATTACAGTAGACCCTTGCCATTCGCGAGTTTGCAATTCACGTTTTCGACGACTTGCAGTAAGCAGATGGTGGGTAGCTTGCAAGCCGCAGCACAACGAGTTACCCCACGCAGCATCTCATGTTGTACTCTCAAAACTTTAGTGTTTCTGTGTGAAATGGTCACTAAAAGACTGCCTAATGTCAGTGCTAGTGATGTTAGCGGAGTGAAATATAAAAGGCAGAAGTCAGTGATGACCCTGACAAAGAAAGTTTTATTATTAGATAAGTTAAAAGAAGGGCTGGGTGCTGCCACAGCTGGTCACTTGTTTGACATAGATATACAAAAGTGCACTAAGGTACTGTAGTATAAGTTGCTATTCGCAGTTTTGCCAATTTGCACCATTTCTTGGAACTTATCCCTTGCAAATGGCAAGGGTCCCCTCGTTAATTTGGATCATTATACAGTGGCCCCTCGGTTAACGAACTCAATCCGTTCCAGAAGGTCGTTCGTTAACCGAAACGTTCGTTAACCGAAACCATTGTTTCAATGGGTTTTTGGGTAATTGGTTCCAGCTCACCGAAAATTTCCTAAATTCAACAAAAATGGTAGAAAGTTCACTTACTTTGAGGTGTGTATGTAGAAGGCTCCTCACCCCATGGTGCCATTTCACCCATAAAATTTTAGCTCTCTGGTTTAATTCAAGTGTACTGCATTATATATTGTCAATATATAAAATATATTTCAAAATGACCAATAATTTGCTTGGAAACACAGAAAAAAAGCGTTTAGTTGAAGAGAGTCTCAAGCAAGATGTTACCTCCAGTGAAAACAGAGAGAGACTGACGCCTGTTTGCTGTGTTAAGAGGCTGGATGCGCATTAAACTAGTCATTTATGTTCAATAATTGTTAAAATGTTGAATATTAAACTTTTAAAATTATTGAATAGTATAAACTTCTTGATATTTACAAAAATAGTAAGGAATTTAAGCCCTAGAACCGATTAATGTATTGGCGGACTGAAGTGCAAGCGAAGTTTAGAAAGTTCGTTAATCGAAATTACGTTAACTGTAATTCGGATTTTGGCTTAATATGTATGTTTTTTTCAAAAATGTACTGGGCAATTTGAATTCAGAAGGAATTAGAAATAACTGAGCTGTTCCAAAAAGTCGATTATTATAATAGAAATATACTGTATTATGAAATCGATCAATATGAATGAATTATTGGAATAGAATATGAATTATATTAAGATACAGCATGCCCTGACAATTCGCGGTCCTCGATTATTCGTGGATGACACTCTGGATGTACCCAACAATGTCCTAGGGTAGTTTTAAAGTTGCTGGCATTTTCACAGCCGGGACAGGAAGCCATTTGTTCCAGAGACAGTTATTTCTTTTACCTGTATGTTTTGTATATGTGTGTGTGTGTGTGCAAAAAACATACTGTACAAATAAATAATATTGTAATGGGAAAATCCTCTCGCAAATAATCCGAATCAGGACAACAAAATTTAGAAAAAATGTGAGTCTACCCTAAAGTTAACTCTGTGCTTTGTTATTAAAGTTAACTTTAATAACAAAGCATGGAGTTGACTTGAGGGTAGACTCACATTTTGTTTTGTTTCTGATTATTTGTGAGAGGATTTTCCCATTATTATTTATTTGTGTGTGTGTGTGTGTGCACGCGCTCACCATCTCTCCAGCACCGTTGTTGTCACTGCTCAAGAGGGTTGGTGTTTACCACAGGATCTGTCTTGAGCCCTTAGTTAATGATATTGTAGCGTATTTATCAGAACTTAATAAATATTATTGTACTGTAATGTATAATGTGCCTCCATATGCCTTGGTTTAATACTCATCAGTTGCCCAAGTGCAAAAGTAGCCAAATCGAGCTGTCATGTATCAATTAATTTTAAAATAGAAATTATAAAGTGAAATGTTCTAAGACACTGGTTTAGTATTGCTGTTAATGTGTGCTGTGTAAGTGCCTAGTCATGTCACCTCACCTCCTACCTCGTAACTTCACCGTTCGTCTCATCAGTTCATCTTGCAGTTACATTTATTTATTATTGAATTATTTACTTTTTTATTACTGTACAGTCTCTCCTCGACTTACAACAGGGTTCCGTCCCGACGACCAGGTCGTAAGTCGAAAAGGCGAAAATAATACATAGAAATTCTAAAATAAAATACTGTACAGTCAACCCTCGCTTTACACGGTCCCACATTCCGCGTTTCCACGTTTACGTGGTACCCTGCCGAAACAGGAATGCTCACATTCCGCGGTGCATGTACCCCTTTACGCGGAGAGCGGCTGGCGAGCCGCGCCATTTTTGGATTCAAATCTCCCGCCATGTTGTGTAAGCGGCGCGAGCATGGTGTGCACAAGGTCGCCCAGTCATCAAAACATTACCGAGTTCTTCACCCGCCACTCACCACAGCCGGCCCAAGTCAGTGATAGTGATAATTATAGTGAGGATATGAACTTATATGGACTTTGAGGGGTTTGACAAAGAGGCCCTGCAAGCCTCTGTGGTGGATAGTGATACAAGTGATACAGGTGAGGGCCAATAATTAATCTGCCCTCTGCCTCGGAACCAACCACCCATCCCCGTGTGCCCAGCCATCTTTTCTACTAATGTAAGTGTTAAAAAACCTAACATTATTGATATTTCTCTTAATTATTAATTGTGTGTGCATACCATCATAAAGTTAATATAATAATTTTACTACAACATAGTTGTGCGTCGTCAAAAAGTGGAGTTTGGGGGTAGGCCCGGTCTCTATTTCAATTAATCCCATATGTTATGTTGTTCACTTTATGCGTTTCTCACTTTCCGCTGTACCCTGTGGGTTGAATTAACCGCGTAAAGTGATGGTTGACTGTACAGTAAAAGTAATCAATAATGAAGAATGAATAAAGTGTTACTGTGCACCTACCTTTAATTTAGTCAGCTGAATGCACACAGGGCCTCAATAATTTTTTAATTAAGTATGGAGACTACATTAATTGGATGAAGCAGAGGAGGAGACAGGGCCGTCGTATGTCCGGGTTGTCGTAAGTCGAATATGTCGTAAGTCGAGGAGAGACTGTATATACATTTAGAAAGTATTTATGTTTTTGCAGTAATTATAAATAGATTATTTTGTGGCAGCCAAGGCATAGCTAGGTACAAAAACTGAAAAGAAAACAAATGAATAATCGAACACAGAGGTACATAAATTGTCACACAATGTCAGAATATTCTGAACTCGTTTAATTCAGATTTTTCACTAATTCGGGTGAGCCAGAGCCCCTTTTTTATACAGTTGTAATATGCCTCTTATGAGTACAATTCTACAGCTGTAGTCCCTTTACAGTGTTAATTTAGCTAATGCATGATTCTACAGGAACACAACCATTGGAATTTGTGAGATATAACTGTACAGAATCTGTTTAGTAAATAAAGGACACAGTTTCATATATAACATCATCATCCTTTCCCAGCCATAAAATTAGACTTCACAAACTCACTACATTAAATTTGGGACCATTTCAGATTTGAGGCAATTTAACCCTTAAAAGAGGTGAGATTTTCAAGTTTTAATGTTCTATGTCATTTTTTACAGCTACCAACCTCCTCATGTTCGGCGCAAGTTACGTATTCAAGAGATGGTGCAGAAATACAGATACGAGATGAATGAACCAGAGTTCTACACCCACCTTTTCACCAGCCCTCTGTGTTGATTGACAGCTCACATGAAACTCTGAAATCACCAACCTTGGAAATATTTGTCTAAAATATTAAGAGAATTATCAGTTAAAGAATTGGTTTCCTCCTTGTCAGTTTTATGCTTTAAAATACTCTGTGTATTGTATCATCTGAGCCAAAAGAAATTTTGTTTACTTTATATGGTTCTTATAATAACAAATATAGGAACTATACAATGCTGTGATAAGAACAGTCGACTGGTTAAATTTTAATACCAGAGTACTTGTTTATAAATTTGACATAAGCAGTTCTATACAAAGCACTTTGTATGACCTATGGGTAATTTTTTAAAGTGACCTGTTAAAATGCTACAATATGAGGCCTTCTCTCTTCCCTTCAGCAAGGGCATATAGTTTAATGGAAGATATAAAAATGGATAATGAAGCAATTTGTAATTGGCAGTACTTATCAGACATTAGGAGCCAGATCATCGGCCTCCTTGAAGCAATCATCTGTTTGAAGCCCAGTGCGAGTCCATGGTCACTGAGTCAGAACTTTCAAGCCTGGTTCATCAGCTCTCTTTTCAAAACCCTTTAGTAATAAATATATCATAATACCTCATCACTTACCTGCCAGATTTCAGGTTAACAACCTGCCTTTTCCTTAGTTTACCCTCCAATATCCAATGACCTTTACTATAGGGGGAGAGAATTTAAGATTACACATGGTTTTATAATTAATAATCTTCACTCTGAAGCTTACCAAGATGTTTTTATCACAGTATACCATAGTTTTTTTTTTTTAGGTGAGTGTTCTTTGATGGTCATTTGTTTCACCAGTGTGGTCTCTCCTCTCTAAATGTGGCTGTATATTGGCAGGAACTAAAAAACACAGGAAAATAAATTTCCTTTAATGACTAAAGAACTAATGTACCAGATTCAGTCATTTAAATTTAATGACCTTGAATTCCCACTGGGCTCTGAGCCAACCATTGGCTAATAAACTTTAATGATATAGAACAAAATACTTTTGGTGAAAAGTGTTGTTTAGAGCCTCTTTTTTTCAGCATTGTCCACTTGGATGGTGTAACATGCATTAGGTAATATGTTCTCTCTGTAAGGCACAGAGAAGGTTACAGTATATCAGGTCACTTGCTTCCTCCTCCTGGTTATAAAATGGGATTTTCATACTCTAATCCTTCATTTGGTGTAGCATGGTGCTGAATACTCATATTTATAGACTGACATAGTAAAAGGGTTTGGAGCTTAACATACCAGTGACAGATTATAAAAAACATTGTTATTGAATTTAGAAAAAAATTAATTTCTAGGGTTTGGAGCTTAACATACCAGTGACAGATTATAAAAAACATTGTTATTGAATTTAGAAAAACATTAATTTCTCAGGCTAGAGCCACAAGATGTATTCACTGAGAGTCAAGTTTGGTACTCAGAATAGAATATATCCAGATAGATATTTTCATGCTGTACTTAAGAATAATATTACTGTATACTGTACCTGTCCGAATTCAACAGTTAATAAACAAATATATGTATATCATCCACCGAATATTTATAAAGTATCAATAAATTAATACAAAATATAAGTTATTATATTTATATGTAATTAATATTTAAATTTGAATTGTCTTGATTAATATAAGTCAGGATTTTCAATATCCAAGATACCATACTTTTATTTTGACTTTATTTTGCCTTGATCACTGTTACTGACTTGATTTACAAACTTATGAAGTGTGGGTCATCAACAAAGGACCTTTGAGATCCATACTTCTATATTAACTCCTTGCAGAGCTTAACTTTTCTAGAGGGCCTTGAAATGTTTTTATCAACAGGATGCACAGTATTGACAGACACATGCCCTTAAAATATGAATTCCAAAGGGGGACTCCGCAGTGATATAGGTCTCGAGACTTTATTTCCAGATTTCAGTCTCAGGGACTTAAAAGACCCAAGTCACATAGTTTTGCTTGAGACCTTATGAGAGCATAAATTTACTTAATAATCTTCAAGTCTGTTTGGAAGTTGTCATTTGGTTAAGTTTGGGTTCAGGTAGTGAAAGGTACCTCCGAGACCAGTAAATCATTTCATGTTTCTGTAAAAGGTTGACTATAATGTAAGCAGGGATTTCTTTGGTGAATGTAATGACTTGAATTTCATCAACAAACATAACATTCCTTTTCTTTTGACATTGTGTGGTGCATCTAAGTGCTGTGTACAGCAGTGTATTTCTAACACTCAATTCACTAGTTCCGATGTGACTATTGAGTCAGTGGAAATTTCCACACTTGGGAGACATCTGGGAATATTACTGCTGCATATGGACATAAGTTTTGGGCATGTGTGTTGGCAGAGGGTGGTGTAAGAATGATATAGTTTTTAACCATTTCCGCTTTTTATTTTTTGCCAGCCAATCGCAGCCTAGCAGCTTAACTCCCTGCACTAGGGTGCAGTCAAACTCCTGAGGATTTGTTTTATTGCTGGGAATTAGTTGGTTTACATTTCTACTTCATCATAAGACTGATCCTTCATCATCCAGAGTACACAACCCCTCAAAAATATACAGTACTATAGTTGTATGAACTGAAACCCTAAATTTTATCTCAAGAAAATTATCCTTAAAACTAGACTAATGCACAGGTTTCATTCTCTGGAGGCAAGTCTTTGCCTTGGATTGTAGGACTCAGTCTTGGTCTCGATCATATCACTAGTACTCAGTGCGTTCTTCGTTTGTTTTTTAATTTGTCTGGGCAATATCTTCAAACAGTTTTTGAGCTAGTAAGCTGAAATTTGGACACAATACTGTTGACTGCTTTCTTATTCCCCCCCCCCCCCTCTCTCTCTCTCTGGACAATATTTCAGGCATTTACTTAACAAAAAAGCTTAAAATTGGGCACAATGATGACCAAGTACTTTAGCATTTTACATTGGACACATCCCTGCTTGTTTGATAATGGTTTTATGCTGGAAACAACACTTTTTGCTTTATTGAATTGAATCAATTTTAGGATTTGATTTCCACATTGAACTATTGGTTGTCTGTAGAATCAGTTTCATATAGAATCATGGAATTTTAACTGCTCTTGCTCTTAGAGTTCTTATTCCTTATAACATAATTGTAAAGTTCTCCTTTTGCAATATTACTACCAGTGTCTTTGCCTGGATTATCCAAAGAGGATAAGTTATTTTTACTTTATTATTCACTAGGTGAGTTGCCCAGCACCGCCAAGGTGTTGTATGTCGTACCAAATTTCAGCTCTATCTTCAGAACTGTAGGAATGTAAAAGGAGCACACACATAAGCACACAATGTATTTTATATACGTACAGTATATAAATTACTGATATTTACTAAAAATTTTAATACATAAAGTACCACAAAGATTAATATTTTTAATGGTTAGAAGGTTGAGGTGAGTGGTGTTTCATTATGAAGTTGTTTCGTGGATATTGATTACATATTAGGTTAATCGATCTGCACGATCAAGTGGATCACTGATCAGGGTTGACATAATCTTAGGGGTTATGAGTAACAGTGATTCTTCACTTGAATAGTTTGGCCTTCCTTATTATTACTAAAAGCATATTTTTATTGACAAAAAGCTCTGCTTCCTTCAATAACAAACTTTTCATTTTAGTTCATGCCAAGACTGATTTCAAAGACCATAATCTTCAATTGCTGAAGATTAAAAGTCTAGCACTTAAAATTATTTATGAGATTATTTTGTTTTGGTAAATGAAACCTGTGAAATCTAAGGAGGAGTTTTACCATGGAAATTAACAGTCTTGGGGTTTTCAGATGCAAATTTGTGTATGATCTAAATTATCGCTTTAGGGTTTTCATACACAAATTTGCGTATGAACTATAAAGTTTAAATAATTTTAACATATCAACACTAGATATGCTAGACACATATTTGGCGACGTCGGTGTGATCTGACAACTATGTAGACTGCCCTCCAAGGTTACATGAGTGACCACACCAGTTGCCCTTGTGGTTAAACGGCGCCGGATGTAACCTTGACCTACCTTTCCCACCATTTTCTCATGGCTTGTACTTATTTCTCGTTCACCACAGTGATTTCATTTATTCATTACAGTGTTATGATAGTTTTGAACCATGCCTCATGTTGCTGGCAAAGGTGGAGGGATGGGTAAACATAAAAAGAACAAGGAGATTGCACCACGTGGTGATAGTGCGGTGCCTCCTGAAGCCTCTCCCAGTGTCCCTGACCCGTCTAGTGCAAGCGATAGTTTGTCTGGCCCTTCAACAAGCAGTCCTAGTGTGAAAGGAACTGCCCGGCATGTTGTTGTGACTTAAAGGAAAAATAAAAGACGTGTTGCTCATCTCCCTAACAAGTGCACACTACCTGTACTCCCACCAAAACTAGATTTAGTTGCTTTGTTCAGGGTAAGTATGGTACTGTGGGGCACAGAGGGAGGGAGGCATCACCAAGTGCACCAACATCTAACAATGTGTAAATAGAGAAATCCTTTTTTTTTAAATTGGCATATTTTTATGAATTACATTTAACCAATAATTTCCAATTATTATTTCATGAATTTCGAAAAAAAAAGCATTTATAAACACAGTATGCATTACTGTATTTATGTAAAAAAAAACTTTCCTGCTATCAGACAGTTCTGGGTTTAAAGGATTATGACTAACGGTAGCGCTTGGTGACAAAATTTGTGTCGAAAGACCCTGAGTGGGTTAATATGATTTTGAAAGCAAGAGTTGTCAAATTTTAGACGACTGAGGTAAAGGGTGTATTGTTGGATGTGAGACAGAAATCCACTGATGATACAGTACTGCTAAGTAGAAGCACATTCTCTGGCAGAGGAGGTTGGGTCCCACTGCTTCCTTATATACAGTCAGTCCTCGACTTACGACGGGGTTAGGGACCAACGACCAGGTCGAAAATGCGAAAATAATACATAGAAAATCTAAAATGGGTGTCTCTTTGTTCTCAGCACCACAAGAACTCTCACTTTTATGCTTGCCAGCCATTTTAAAGGGAATTATAAACGAAAATTTTGTCAGTACACAGCACTAGGCCTAGTAGGAGTAGAGCAGAGGTGAAATGTATATAAATACAAAGTACTGTAGGCAGTAGCACAGGGAAAAAATACATGAATAAATTGGCAGTTCCAGATTTGTAAAATACAGTACCATTGAAAATACACCAATTGGTAAATTTTAAAGTAATTTGAAATATTAAGGCTGGTTTCTCTAAATTAAGATCTATTTTCTAGGATTTATTGAGGGTTATGATGATCAAATTTGTCAGAAATATCACCTTTGGGTAAGAAGTTCGAATATGAAGGTCACTGACCCCCCTTAAAAAAAAAAAAAAACGCTTATCCAGAATCCTTGGTAATGGCTCCTACCAAAATATTCATTAATGATAATGAAGTGACCATCTATTTGTACGTCAAAACAGGATGATACCCGTAATGGTTTTCCTAACATCATGTGATTACATTTTTCCATGACATTATCATAGCCTAAGTCAGCTCACATCGAATATTACTGGGCATGGTCTTTGTAATGGGTGGTGAGGCGTCCAGGGGAGGACGTGACAACCAGCATACTACCATGCATTGTTCTGAGACAGGAGAACCTGACCAACAAAGATACCAAGACTAATCCCTATTGCTCTTACACATGGCTGATGTCACAAGAGGAAATGAACCCTTTCTTATCACGACCAAAGTCAACTACAATACAATGGTTTATATAGGTGGTTTTGATTTACGAAAAGGCAGGATGATTTACCACATGCTTGAGAGTATAGCCGCCCTGGGGTAGGCTGGGCTAGTGGTGCGTGAGGAGATGGCAGAGAAATTCACTGGGGTATGAGATGGCCGCCGGAGGTGGTCAACGTTATCTCCACAGCCACAACGAGCACGTCCCATTTGGCAACTGCTGCCACTGGTCTTCACCCACCTCCCCAGTAGACTAAATCATAGGCGATTGGAATATCGTTTGAAGGAGCAATATTAAAATACATACTAAACTCTAGATTATATTTAAACCTATCAAAGAGAACTGATACAACCTAAAAAGAGCTAAAATATACAACTGCGGCACCACAAATCACACCAACACCACATAACACCTCGTAAACAACAAATTAGAAGCCTCGACCCTACCACCACCTCAAACGACATGGCTCACCAAGTGCCTGCACGACGCTGACGTTTTCTATAATTCTCTTGGGAGTTAACAGCCAGGAAGGCCAACGTACTGTAGCTTAAGGATAAGAGTGCCGCCAGTAGTGAAGTCGGTACCACGATTTTACCACTTATTTACACTCCCACCAGACAGCCAACCATCAAAACATAACAGTAAGTTTCCTCACCTGTTATTGATTCACTGTCCAACCGAATGGCTTATTTTTCATGGAAAATGTAGCAAAAGAGTTATTTTCTCTGTCCCATGCAGCCAGATAAGTCATACATTACCTCAGAGGTTGATCAGAAGCGGCTTATGGAGAATTTATTCGGAAGGTTGTTGTGTAGGCCGTGTTCAACACTTACACATCTAACAATTTATGCTTGGTATTTTTTTATTATTTATAATATATGTTTCATTCATATTTGTTTATTTAGCGTCTTTTCATTAGCATTCTGCATGAAATCAGATTAGGGAATTTTCTTGAAGGCAACATCCATA